TGATTGATTTACATTTCTACATTTCATACAAAAATTCATTGTTTCAGTGTTTTCTTCTTTCCTCCGTTTTGTAAATGATCGGTATTGCTATTTATTTATCTTTTCGTTCTAAACCTTGTTGAGCGTTAGTTTCAATGGATGTCCTATCGTCATGTATTTGGGGAGTTGTGTTATGTATGAAGATTCATCCGCAGGAATATGGTGGTACTACGAATTTTCTTGTGCTATGGTGGAAAATATACTGTCTTGATCCTGACGACGTATCTCAGGAGAGCTAAGTTTACATTTGGAAACACCTTTTACCAAACAAACAAAATTGTGGCTAAATCGGAACTGTAACAGATACGATAGTCACCTACACTCAAATATTGTCAGCTTATCGTTTCATGGAAACTAAATAACGTTAAAGAACTCACAGGTGGACTAAGGAGGGCACAGAAAGGAAATCTAACTGATTCTAACAGAAACATGATCTTGGGCAAACAGTAAAATAAGAACGAGAAAAAGTATCTAGAAAGACTGTTTGAAAAGAGATATCACCTTTGAGTTAGAAGAAGAGGTAAATGATGTGCCAAGAATATTGCAGCACAAAGTACCGGGTGGTCCAATAAGCCGATTGCTCGGCTATATATCAGAAACTATTCATGTTATAACTTGGGGAGAAAAAATTCCTTAGTAAAAGTGACCAAAAGAAATCGCTGGAAATAACTTTCAAGTTTCTGGGTTAACCGCTAGGGGGCGTAATCTGTGAAGAAAAATTTGAAAACCAGTTTTTTGTAAAATATGCCCAATTATACCAAGTGTTAAATAAGTGAACTAGAAAGAGGGCTAAATTCCGCACAAAGTTGTTCAAGTACTTTTTTTTTATTTTTTCAAATAAAGGGTGGGGGAGGGTGGCAAAGTATTTGTGGATAAATACCTATAACTTTGGTTTGGATCAACCGATTTTAACGAAATTAGTGTCATTAGAAAGAGTGTGGATAATTTAATCTACATCTACTATAAAACAATTGCATTTAATCTTAATTGTCATGGGTAGAGGGTACTTTCAAATAGAAAAAATTAAAATTTGTTTTTCTTTAAAATGTTTAATGGAAACACCTATTTATTGTTAATTATAACTGAACTGGATTAAATTCGTAACAAAATGGCACAAACCGCATGTTGATAGCTTTTGTCAAACTCGAGATATGAATAAAAACGCATAAACATAAGTATAGTATTGACTCACCCTTTATTATAACTTAAAATTAAATATGTGAAAGAATATACAAATATCTCGATCATTAAAACTTAATGTCCAATTAAATGTTCAAATTGTTTTCCATCGTTGAACACACAAAGATGTAATCTTTCGCGCGTAGACATAACAGCTGCTTCAATCTCAGCTGTTGATATATTATTTATTGCGTTTATAATGCGCTGTTTCATGTCATCTCGTGTGGTTGGTCGAGTTTGGTACACTAAGTCCTTCAATCTTCCCCACAGATAAAAGTCCAGACATGTTAAGTCTGGAGATCTAGCTGGCCATGAAAATATACTTCCCCTTCCAATCCATTTATTTGGATAACTTGCATACAAATAATCTCGAACTCGTCTGGAAAAGTGCGCAGGACACCCGTCATGTTGTAGTATCATATCTCTTCTTGTTTGTAAGGAAATATCTTCCAATAAAACAGGCAACTGATTTTCCAGAAAATTCAAATATGTTTCGCCATTTAAAGTTCTATCAAAGAAATATGGACCTACGATCTTTCCATCAACTATACCACACCAAACATTAAGACTCCATCTACCTTGAACCTGCATCTCATGTATCCAGTGCGGATTTTCTTCAGCCCAATAATGCATATTATGCAGATTAACACCACCCGCACTATTAAACGTAGCCTCGTCTGTCCACAAAATCTTTGACAGGATATCCGGTTGTTCTTCTAGCAGACCTAACATCCAATTGCAGTAATCCAGCCTTGCATCAAAATCTCTCTCATGTAAAGCTTGGTGGAGAACTACATGATAAGGATGCAGTCTAAAAAACAGAACAACAAATATTGGTGAAAAAGAAACCACTACATTTACTAAAACTCAAAAATCTTAAAAAATCCAAAATTGTTTCACAAGATAAATCGTGCATAAGTATTTTTAGGAAACGGATAAAAGGATAAAAGCGCCGTGTTGCCGTTTTTATCGGAATATTAAAATAACAGTTGAATCTAAAGTTTAAAGGGAATTCCAAGTTTCTGACCTAAACGTTCACTTTATAGTATGAAAAACCAACCTGTGATGTTTTAAAATCCTTAGAACAGTAGTTTTGGGTATGTTTAATTCTATAGAGATTTGCCGACTACTTATATGTGGATTCTGTTGAATTAAAGCAAGAACATTGATTGAATTATCTTCGGTCATACCTCTACTACGTCGTTTAAAACAAGGACGATGAAAACTACCAGTTTCTCTTAATCTTCTTGCCTTTCTTTCAAATACTTCTTTGCCATAATGTCTCCTGTCAGGATATCTTACAGAATATATACGTGAGGCAATAGCGGCATTTTGGTGACATTCGAAATAAACTCCAATCATATCATACAATTCTGCATTGGATATACTCATCCTGAATTATTAGTACTGATAATTAATTACTAATATTACCAATATTAATATCTATTGAAAAAGTGCAATCTTCAATTTGAATTATAATATAACACTTCTTAACAATGTTTTGACTGCTGTCAATAAATAAACAATATGATCTCCCCGTCAAATTCATTGTCGTAGCCTACTTAGTTTCGAAAAAACTATTTTTAATCATCTGAAATAACAATGGTCAAAATGGATATCAATATTAAGATTCTTCTGCTATAAAAAAATTTGAAAATACCTACTGACTTATTTTTTAATTTAATTTATAATACAGGGTGAGTCAATACTATACTTATGTTTATGCGTTTTTATTCATATCTCGAGTTTGACAAAAGCTATCAACATGCGGTTTGTGCCATTTTGTTACGAATTTAATCCAGTTCAGTTATAATTAACAATAAATAGGTGTTTCCATTAAACATTTTAAAGAAAAACAAATTTTAATTTTTTCTATTTGAAAGTACCCTCTACCCATGACAATTAAGATTAAATGCAATTGTTTTATAGTAGATGTAGATTAAATTATCCACACTCTTTCTAATGACACTAATTTCGTTAAAATCGGTTGATCCAAACCAAAGTTATAGGTATTTATCCACAAATACTTTGCCACCCTCATCCACCCTTTATTTGAAAAAATAAAAAAAAAGTACTTGAACAACTTTGTGCGGAATTTAGCCCTCTTTCTAGTTCACTTATTTAACACTTGGTATAATTGGGCATATTTTACAAAAAACTGGTTTTCAAATTTTTCTTCACAGGTTACGCCCCCTAGCGGTTAACCCAGAAACTTGAAAGTTATTTCCAGCGATTTCTTTTGGTCACTTTTACTAAGGAATTTTTTCTCCCCAAGTTATAACATGAATAGTTTCTGATATATAGCCGAGCGATCGAAGAAATTCGAAGAATACCGTACGATAAGCCTCATGAGTCATCTCCTAAAACTGCTCCTAAAGATAACCATACGAGAATTTACAAGCTGTGTGAGTGACAATTTCCCTCCAACCTGGTCGGGTTCATAAATGCAGTTCTTATAAAAGAAACTCTGTTTTCAGTACAGAGTACAGTAATAATTGGAAACCTTTTCTGGAATCAGACAGCAAATCTCAGAATTGCGGTGAAAATTCAGAATACTATATTTATTATATAGTATTCTACTAAATGGGTATCTGCTGAACATCAGATATGTAGATGACACTATTGTATTTCAGACAACCTATTGTGTTATGCCAAATAAATCCAGATACATATGCTTCCCTACAAGCCATACTGCAATGAGAAATATTTGGAAAGCGAGGTCTAGGAAAGAGAAAAACATCTGATCCCCCATCGTTTTTTTTTTCGATTGCTTGTTAAAAATAAATAAGTATGATAATACAGGTGTCCGTTATGTAAAAGTTAGTGATTCACTAACTTTTACATAACAGACACTCATCATGTTATTAGTGACACGCTAGATCAATATATATTTTTTTAGGTTAACGCATCTCTGACAAATCTGATCGCCAAACATTTCGGAATACATCTAACTCGGATAGAACGAGAAAGACAAGCACCTATTGTACAGGCCGAACTGAGTTCGCACATCGAAAAGGCAATCGGCAGTGCGAAGATTTCTCGCTGCAATCAAAACGATGTGTCAAGTTCAGCGTGTTCTTTACAGTGACTTAGTTGCAAAGTTGTGTGTGGTTTGTTAAAAAATGTGTGCTTGTTAAAAAAATATTTTAAATAAAGAATATTTTCTGATAGTGTTTAATAAAAATAAATTATACATTTCCTTCCAGAGAAGCATCGATTTTTGTACACTAACTAGAATAACAACAAAAATAACAAGTTTTTGAAAGAAAACTAATTATTTGAGAAGTATAGATTTAGACATGTATAGTAAAAGTAAAAAAACCGTCTTTTAAAAAAACTTGTCTTTGTACCGTTATAAACGTTACAGTTTTGGTCTATATTCCGAATTTAATGATTTCTTCATAATTATATTTTAATTTTTTTTTTCGCTTTTCAGTTCGTTTTTATGCTTTACCATTTTGATTATAAAATAGTTGGCGCTCAAAATTTCCTTTTTCATAATTAATTTTATATCTTTAATTGTCTCAAATTACATATGTTTCCACTTTCGATCTAAGACTTCCATGTGTGTAGGTTTTACCTCAAAGAAAATAGCAGAAAAATATTTTAGAATCAGTCAATTCATTTATTTGTAAAAAGTGTCAGATAACTGAAGGCAATTCGGAAAGGTACCAAAATGTGACGTTTACAACGTTATATCGTTTTGGAAAAACTTAGACTTAGAATCGCATAGATTTGCGTTTCATTGTTTTCTAAATGTTATTTAATTTTTTTTATTACAGTAATTGAAAAATATACGGAAAATACAAGGTTTTGTATAATTTGCAATTACCTGAGCAAGATCATACCTGCACTTCAGTCTCGTTGTACTCGATTTAGATTTGGTCCTCTGTCTCCTGAACAGATTCTGCCAAGACTGAACTACGTCATTGATGAAGAAAAGTAAGTACCGTATCAAATTTTATTTTTTGCTCGTGGAGATGTCTATCAATTACTCTCTCCCAGTTGGTCATGGTGTGACTAAGTAGTTTTATGACCCTGTATTTTGTGCATTGTTGAACATCTTTGTTTTTGTAAACAGGTAATAATACACAGCTTCTTCATTCGTTTGGCATTTGCCTCACTGCCAAAATTATATTAAACATACCCAACTTATTCCAGTCTTCCCTAACGTTGCCTACATCTTCATAGGAATATTTATCTGGCCCAACTGCTTTGTTTCTATTTCTTTATTTTTTGTAGTGCTGTTTTATATATCTTCTTTTCCACATTTCTGGTATCAAGTTAAGCGAATATATTTTTATAAGTTTCTGATTTAGTTTTCTTCATTTACTTTAGCTTTCTTGTTGGCAATCTTCTAATTTTAAAAAGGCAGACATATTATCGTAATACTCTTTAGGGTTAGGAGGGGTAATATCGCGCGGCTAAGCAGAAACAAAGAAATTTACATTTTACACAGTAAACAGTTGACAAATTGGTAAACTCTGTATAAATATGTTTGATTTAAGATATTATAAGAATTTAAAAAATAATAAAAAATATATTACTAAAATATTACAAATACGCAACACGTGCCTTTCGCGGTATTTTCCTATCCTTTTCCCCAAAAGTAACAAAAAATAAAAATAATTGAAGAAATTTTTAATAAACTTAGAATCGCTCGTTATCAATATACCTAAAAGGTTTTTCAAATATTGTATTAAAATTAACGTTTTGCTTTTTAATATTTTATTTGCACTCATCGCATTGAAAACCTTCCGTTGACTCCCAACCACTACAAGCTGCATGGGCCCATACTCCACACCCAATTCAGCCATATCAAAGTTCCTTCTTTTTTTTTCAACTTCATCGCAAACGATGCATACTCCGTTGGCTACAGGAGGATTGTGATATTGTTTGATTTCACAGAGATTCGAATCCTATCTGATGAATCGATTTCTATGGATGATTTAGAATCATATTCATCTTCAATACATCATTTCTTTCCCTTAGTTTTATTATTCTTAGCACCTTTAACTTTTTGTTTCAATTTTTTAACTTTTTTATCACCGTTCTGCCGTCTCCTCGCTTGCTTCTAAATTTTTGCATCTCGCTTAGCTTTTTGTCCAGAATATCCTTCACTGATACTGATTTTTTCTGAACAGTTGTTATACCGGACTCATGTAGATCCTATCGCCACTAAATTTAAACTTGTTCAAAACGTCTTTAAGTTAAAAAAAATTATAACAGCTTCAGTATTGAAGGGTATATATGCGGCTTATGCTAGTGCCTTCTGACTGGCGAAGACTTAGCTGGGGACTCCGTTTTAAAAATCCTATATTAGCCAGTCTTTGACAGCTTGTTTCTGGTTTCTATTAAATCTGTGTTACAAATGATTAACTTCTGCAAAATCGAAAGCTATTCGTCTCAACTCCCAAGGTAACTCCATAAATCAAATTTCCCAATTTTATGTGATCTAACTCTGCTTCTTGTTCTTTAGTAAATACTGGTTTCCTTCCCATGCAGTCAGTTAGAGCCGAGCTTGATTTTCAAAATATGAATGAGCCGGAATATTAAAATTTCTAGCGGCTGCTTCTTTAAGCTGCTTAATTGACCAGAATTGTCGTTTCTCTTCTTTTTTTTATGTTTTTTCCTGGAATTTAGTAAAAAAAGCAAAAATAGTTAATACCATACAATGTTTAATTACTATTTATAACTGGGAATAAGCCACATTAAAGATAAAAATACATTTATTTATAAAATAGCTTCAGAACCATACAATGTTTATTTTCATTACCAAAACCCAGAAAAATATTACAAAAAAGTTGTCATTAAAACAAGTCAGGGGCAATATCGCGCATATTTGGGCGATCTTACCCTCTACCGACCTTGATTTCGTTTTTTAACCGTCGCTTTAATAATTAAAAATCAAATTAAAAACGAAATATGAACAAATACCACAAAATAATTGACAGAGCTATCTCTACTTACGAATCTGATTTTGCTTTTAAAATTACCACTTACCTTGAGAGCACAAAATTATAAGAAAAAATATCTACTTAAATCTTTCATCTATTACGTGCAACTAAGTTTATTGAGTGGACATCCAACCGTTTCTACAGCTTTCCCCAACACCATACACTTGATTACATTTCTTATTGTACGATCCATTGTACATGTTTGTGGCCAATTATATATAGGTAATATTACTTACCCCGATATTACCCCTCCTTTCCCACTACAGTTCTCTTTTTCTGCTTGTGCTTCGTTTGATTATCAACAGGTCTTCCTTAATTAAGTTTTTCAATGGCAGTATCTCTAGTATTAATCGCCTATATTTCCAAATTGTATTAGGACAGCTTTTCATGTTCCAACTAATGTTTTCCTATATTTTTGCTGTTAATTCACATTCTTCTCTACCTTATTTTGATTTGGCTTCTTATTTCAATGCCTAGCAGCTTACGTTGTTGTCCTTACATTCACGTATATATTTTCTCGTATAAAATAATCTATTTACTTTCAGAGTATCTGTAACAGAAGACGGCAAAAAGGCTTTGCTTACTCTAGCAAATGGTGATATGCGAAAAGTACTAAACGTGCTGCAAAGTACATGGTTGGCATACAAACAAGTTACAGAAGACAATGTGTATACGTGCGTGGGTCACCCGCTCAGAACAGACATCGAAAGCATCGTCAAATGGTTGCTGAACGAAAACTTCAAAACTACATACAACAACATCAAAGAATTAAAAATGATTAAAGGGCTGGCCTTGCACGATATACTTACGGAGGTGCATAAGTACGTTCATAGGATCGAGTTTCCATTCGATGTTATGATCGATCTGCTAGAGAAAATGGCCGAGATTGAATATAGATTGTGTGCTGGTGCTAATGAGAATATTCAACTCACAGCTTTAATATCTGCGTTCCAGCACGTTAAGGATATCAAAGCTCCAGACGAATCTAACTAATTTTAGTATCCTATAAGTTCTTATTTCATAATAGTGTATTTTTTTACAATAAATTTAATTAAAAAGACATTTTAACTTCTTTGTGTTACCAATATTCTTCTAAAGGGAAATTACTGCCACTACATCAAAGTTTATTATTGTTGGATATTATTAAGATTGAAGGTGACTCATCTTCATGATGAACTCAACAACAATTTACGAATTCATGATATGAAGTTTGAATAGATCTATAAAATGCCAAAATATATAGAAGGCTTGTGCTGGCAAATTAAGCCTATTTCGCAATGGGCCACATATTCAAATCACGAGACGTACGCCGGAAAACAAAACTCAGGGTCTATAAAACAATAATCAGGCCAGTAGTAAGTTATGGCTGTGAAACATGGGTGGTGATACAGAAATCTGCCAATGCATTAGATGTGTTTGAAAGAAAAATATTACGTAGGATTCTCGGCATAATAAGTGAAAACAACAACTGGCGAATTAGGTATAATAGAGAAATATACGAGCAATATAGCGAACCAACTCTAGCACAATACACTAAACTGCAGAGATTACGGTGGGCAGGGCACGTAGGGGACAGAAAATTACTAAATGCAGGGAAAAAGACCTAAAAATAGATGGGAAGACGAAGTCGATGAGGATGCCAGAAACTGCATGGGAACGCGTTCATGGAAAAGAACAGCTGTAAATCCAAATGATTGGAGAAGGTTGTGGAAGGAGGCCAAGGCCCGATTTGGGCTGTAGTGCCATTGGATGGATGGATAAAATGCCATTTAATCCGGTTGTGACCGCCTATCATGCCCTCTTCTAAAATCAGGCGAAACATTTCGTAAACTTTGGTGTTATAATACTAGAGGAAAATGTATTAAGTAGTTCTTCTTCGCGTGCCATATCAGAATTATCCGACGTTGGCGATCACCATTGCGAAGGCTTCTCGATCTTCTGCAATATGGAATAATTGTCCTGCATTTGGTATCTGAGTCCATTCACGAATGTTTTTTAACCAAGAAACTTGTTTTCTTCCTACACCTCTACGGCCCTCTATTTTGCCTTTAAGGATCAGTTGTAAAATTTTATATCGACTTCCCCTTACTATATGTCCCAGATAAGACATTTTTCGATGTTTAACAGTCTTTAGCAGTTCTCTGTCTTTGTTGACGCTCCTTAGTACTTCTTCATTAGTTTTTCTTGCTGTCCAAGGTATCTTCAGCATTCGTCTATGAACCCACATTTCCAATGCTTCAATTTTGTTCATGATCGATACTTTTAGCGTCCACACTTCTGCACTATACAAAAGTACAGACCAAACATAGCACTTAACCATTATTTGCCTTAGTTCTAAACTGAGATGGTTATTGCAAACGAATGACTTCATTTTCATAAAAGTAGTAATTGAAGCTGTGCATCGGGATGTGGGCCACGACTTAACACTAAAAATTTGGTTTTGTTTCAGTGTATTTTAATGCCCATTTCCTCTCCTACCTCGTGAATACGATCAGCAGAATTTGAAGACCTTCAATATTATCTGATAGAATTAGTGTATCATCTGAATATCTAATCACATTAAGTATAGTTCCCCGTTGATTTTTATTCCATATGGTTGTCTCTCAAGTGCTTTTTTAAATAACTGGTCCGAGTAAACATTGAACAATGTTGGCGACAAAATGCAACCTTGTCTGACTCCTCGTTGTATGGGGATTTCATCGATGTAGTTATCTCCAATTTATACGATAGCAGTTTGATTCCAGTACAAATTTTTAATGACACGAATATCCTTGTCATCTATTCCGATATTTTTCAGTATTTGCATTAATTTTACATGCTGTATTTTATCGAATGCCTTTTCGAAGTCCACGAAACATGCAAATACATATTTTCTTTGGTCACGGCATTTTTGTAATAGGATGTTAAGCGCAAAAAGTGCCTCCTGGTTCCCATAGCATTTCTAAAACCAAATTGGGTATCTTCAAGATCTTCGCATTTGCGTCTAATTCTGTTGTGAAGTATTCTGAGGAAAATTTTAAGAGTGTGGGTTATTAGGCTAATTTATCGATATTCTGAACATTTCCTCTCATTATGTTTTTTAGGTATTGCGATAAGATGGAGTTGAGTCAATCTGCGGGAATCACTCCGGTGTTATATATTGAATTTAAAAGTCTTACTACTACTTTGATGTTATCATTCTCTATTAGTTTCAGCAACTCAGTTTGTGTATTATCTGGACCACAAGCTTTTCTAATTTTAGCATTATTTATAGCATGTTCTACTTCGCATTTCATAATTTCTGGGCCGTCAGTAGTTTTGGTAGAATTCGGCAATATTATTCCTGCCATCTTCAAACAACTCTGATATATACAGCTTCCATTCTTTTCTTATTTCTTGCTCATTTACAATAATTTTGTTATTAGTGTCAACAAGTACAGAGGGAACTCGTTTTTTAAATATATTACTCATTTCTTTCACTTTTTTGTGCACATTAAGTAGTTACACAGCCTTTTTTTGCGTTTGGCCGTTTGAGTCATGATCGGGAGATGATGTCTTTTTGTGGGCGAATACTGTTAAATATATTGAGCATTGTCCATTTGAACGTGGAATAATATACACACATACAAATATTAAACTTACCAATGGAAGGGCAGAATAAAAGCAGCCAAATAATGATAAAAGTTGTTTATTTTATAAAGTCGTTCAAATTTTAACATAATTTCATATTCTTTCATATATTTTTGTATAACCCTACATATAAATTAGCTTTCTTATGCTAAGTCCCTAATGAAATATAAAAATATTTTAATCCCCCTATTTCTATTTTTTTTTCAATCGCATGCTTCCATAAAATGGCGTTTTTATAGATACGAAGTTTCCATTGCTTTATTTGTATAGATTTCTAGAAAATTGACAATAAACAAATTATTGGGTGCAGTGAAATATACTAAGTCAGTGTAAGTTACTGGCTTCGCCCAGAGATGTCAAATAGGATTTTTTCTTTGATGTTGGTGCACCTGTTAGTAGATACCATGTCAAATTACAGGTTATTTCCATAGGCGTGTATATTAACATATACCGAGCGTACTTGCTAAGCGTGCTGACAACTAGAAATTTAAGTACTTCTACTTCTGCCCACTTAAAACATACTGCCCAGCTTTACTATTTATAAGAGTGAGACAGAACGAACAACGAAAAAAAAATATGGTGTCATTACGTAGCTGTACAGACTGCTTAGTATATGTTATTATATACGTCTCCAAGGTTATTCCAGGCAGCTGTTAACTAAATACAATTTGAAATAGTTGGAGAGCGCCTGATGTTGAAAATGTAAAAAAAGAGTACCTTGCAGCAATAAAATTCGTACAAGTAACACCGATCGAAAATCGTTTGGGGCTTGTAAAAAAGAATTGGGATTTTTTGTCATAAATTTCTACAGCGAAGAAGTAGATGATTGGGACTATACGTGGCAGTGAACGTGTCAGAGATGATTCAAAAACTAATACTTCATCTGAAATCATCGACAAAGTAAATTATTGATGTATAAAGATGGTGGAAAAAAAGGTTTTAAATGATCGGTGGATAAACTAAGATAAAGTAAACGATTTTTTCCTTCGATACGTTACAATGGATGATAGGTTCAATGCAACTGTCCACTAAAGTGCTCGGCCAAGAAGAAATTGATTAATTTTTTCCTTCGGTGAAATAAAACTTTTCTTATTTTAATAGTTTTCAGTAACTCACGAACCGCATTTGATCTATTTTACACAGCTTCGTTGGTCTGCATCGCTGTTCAGGATATTCGGAGCATTCTTCTATGCAACCATATCTCGAACACCTCTAGGCGATTGATCGTATCAGCCTTTAGAGTCCAGGTCTCGGTACCATGTAACAACACTGACCAAATATAGCATTTGATCATTCTTTGACATACTTTTAGGTTTAAGCTGTGGTTACAGAAGAATGATTTCATTTGTAGAAACGTTGTGCGAGCTGCCTCAATTCTGCATTTGATCTCTTTGCTTGGAACTAGTTGGTCTGTAGCATCCCAGATATTTAAGGTGAGTAACTCTTTCAATGATTTGTTGATCTACCTGTAGGGAAGCTTGTTGTGAGATTGGCGACTAAATATAATAATGTTGTCTTAGAAGCATTCATTTTTAGACGTATTTCTCTTCCTGTCGTATTTATGCAATCCAATAACTCTTGAAGACCCTGGAGACTATGGCATAAAATAAGAGTGTCGTCAGTGTATCTAAGATTATTAATCAGTTCATCATTGATTTTCACGCCAAAGTCTTGCAAAGCTTTTTTTTTGAAAATTATATCAGAGTAGATATTAATAACAGAGGGGATAGAGTGCATCACTGTCTGACGCCACTTTGAATGTTGAAAACCAATCCTTCTTTTATCCTGTTAATGTGTTCATTCTACTCCGCCTTCGTGATAATTTTGTAAATTAAGTAGCTGAAGTAACAGCTAATGATGTTAATATCTACATTCTACCTTGCCTTCGTAATAATTAGGTGGATCACAAAGTAGCTGAAGTACCATGTTGCCAGTCCGAAATTCGTATAAACGAGCAATGTTTTATGTCAGGTCAGTATACTACCCAAGGAAAAAAAAAACAGGTATTTTTAAACAGAAACCTGTTTAAAACAGAAACCTGTTTAAAAACTAAACAGGTTTCTGTTTAAAAATATAGGAAACCAGAAAGTACATGAAACATGATTTCTTTTCAACTTTGAAACCACCCTGATATTTTCTAGATCCAGCAAAGAACTTGAAAAATGATCCAAACTTTAAAAAATGTTATCATGTCACTTTATGGACTCCGTACAGCTGCAGTTAGCGGTCAGCGGTCACTGAATAATTCACACCTTCATTTTTACACTGTAATACTGTGAAATTGCTAAATGTCAAAGTGCTTGGCAAAATTTGGCGCGTATTTAAATGACGCGCACAAAAAACAAGAGCAATTGCCAAACTGGAAGAAGGTTGATCACTAAGAAAAGTTGCTCCAGATTTGAATGTGAGCCGTATGTGCATATGGAAAATCAAACAAAGATTGGATCATGTTCACTCTGTAGCACGGTTCTGTAGTTCAAGAGGACAGAGGATATCCATAGAGCAACAAGATGAGGTGTTACTAGATTATCTGAGAAAAGCTTCCTTTGGCACAGCTAAGCTAGCGAAGGTGGGCAGATGCAGTGGATGAGAATTGCCAAGAGTAGAAATCAATGGAAGCAAATGGAAGAGGCCTATGTCCAGCAGTGGACAAATACAGGCTGAAGAAGAAGCTAGCGAAGAGACACCCTTTCCAGACAGCATTCGCACCGCACGTAGAAGGATTAAAGCAATAAACTGATAATTTGTGCAGCTGCAAGGAAAACTTTTGTGACTGATGATCACAAGAGGAGACGAGTTGCATTTTATAATGAATTTATAAACCGGGAAGACAACTTTTAGTCTAACGTTGCATTTTTCGATAAAAAACGTGTTTAAATCATACGATTTAAGAATGTCAAATAAAAGTTTATATACATTTTTCAAATAAAAGGCAGATATCGAGCACATTTCTTTTATTAAATCTTGCCCAAGTACTTTCGCTCTCAGAGCATCTTTAACGGCATCAAAAAACGCTTTTCAAATGAAAAGTAGCGAAAAAACTCTCGAGCAAGTTGATGGTTGATAAAAAATATATAACGTTTTAGTCGTCAAAAAATTTGGCTTTCCAGCACATTAAAGAATGTAATAAACATTTAAGTATACTTATACAAATCAAATAGGAGTTTATATAGCGAGAAATCATAAGTTTGATGAACGGTAAATTCGCCATTAAGCACCTTCGAGAAGGTTGAAAGAAACTCATGATGTTATTCAGTGGCTTTTCCGGAGTCCAGAACTTAACCTCATCAAAAATGTGTGGGCAGAGTTGACAAAGAAATTCAATGAAAGAAACCTTAGACTGCGGAATAGAATTAAACTATGGGAAGCATTTGGGCAGCCATTGGAGGAGCTTGTTAAATATAACATGAGGAGATTGGTGCTATTTATGAACAGAAGATTGCAAAATTTTATGGACAATAATGGGGCTTCCACCTACCAAATATTAATTGTGCTACTGTTTAATATAAATAGATTTAAAATAAAATTGATATTTTTAATAATGGATAATTATTAACGTCACTTTGACGTAAAAGGTGTGTTTAAACGAGGTAAAAATTCAAAAAATTGCCTACTAGATATGTAAGGGTGTAAACTATTCAATGGCCGCAGCTGTACAAATCCCTGATGAATGCTGGAACATTAGTCACATCGTTTTTTGTAGATACTATAGAAATCTATACAAATAAAACTCCTACTAGCATAATATATTGTACATTTTACTCACTAAACATAAAAGTCAAAAATTAAAATCGAATATACTTCTATCACTTTTTTTAATATCAATAAATAAAAAAAAATAGTTAAAAATTGGTAAAAATAACAAATCACAAAAATGATTCCTTTTGGGTCTAAAAAACTAAAGTCTTTAAAAAACGTCGTAAAATCAGTCAACGAAAGGTTTTGTGAAAATATTTCTACTTATCTAAAAGATAGTCTAGCCTTTGATAGATGGCATTAATTGAAAACAAATTGCTCACAGTTTTGACATATGTTCAAAAGCAACACATGTCTCAGATAGCGAGAATTTTTTGAAAATGATAAAATACAATACACAGGATTTTTTTAAACTTAGATGTCTTAAAACTTTGGTTTATTTTTACCCACTGGAAACGAATGAACAGTCGAAACAGTAGAGAAAAAGAGGCTAGACCCATCACTAACAATGCTTTCTCTTTTTTCAGAAATAGACACGTAAATCTCTTATAGGTTATTCCACGAATATACGACTGTTTTGGTTTACTGCGACAACAAATATTTTACTGTGCAAGTAGAAGTATGAAGGTAAATTGGTCCAATCATTATTCCAATAAAAAGGGTCTACTATTATGACATCTAAACTAAAATTATTTCAGTTAAAATCTACAAATAAATACAATGACGTCTATAAAGCCAAATGTGGTTGTCAGACATTTGGGTAAGCTTTCCGTGAAATGTAAACACCAAAGAGGCGTGCCGGGTTTCTTTGATATTACACTACACTTTATTACTTTATTAGGTATTATAACTGTAATAAAAAGAAATATACTATTTTTAATATAAATGAAATGAAATTGGCAGAACAATGGTTCAGAAACCAGAAAAAGGATCTAATATTTCACTTTGTTAGTTTTAAATATTTGTTTGCTTTGAGTTTATGCACTCTTAAAAGTTCCGAAAGTAACGGGTATAATATACCGGCTAGGAGTCGTTACAGATATTAAAAAGTAACGAAAATTTATATACACTTTCATATATCGTCGACTGATTATTGCTGTGAATCTGATCGTTGATGATAGTTTTAGAAGATTAAGAGAATAAGTGAATAAGTAAGTTTTTTTGTTTTTTTAATACTAATTGAATATTCGATAATACTAAATAAATTACACCATTTGATCACTTAAGTATTGTTGCATTTCGTTAAAATCAATAATTCAAAAACCAACTTGTTTACAATACTAAACTATATGATAGTAATTATATACTTCAAAATCTGAATTGTTCAGATTCAAAAACTGTTCTATAAACTATTAACTTTATATTTATATCATGACTTCATATTTAAATCTAAGGTTTTTATCTGTCGTAACAGTATTTTAAAAATGGGGAGAATTTACTATTGTACAATTCAGCACATTGGACCATTTAAGTCGACACCTTAAAGCGAATTTAAAACAGTCGTATATTCGTGGAATGGAGTATAGATTATCTTGTATATTATTTTAGTGTTTAGTATAGTAATTTAATTTTTGTTATGTGTTAAGTTTGAAAAGTATTAATAAAGTTTAATTGTGTCTAGTTGCTAAATTGATCGAAGCCTACAACAATTCTAGGTAGTAACATAAACCATGTCAATATTTCTCTTACTTGGATAGGGAAGTCTGGTGTGATGACACCTCATTTATAGTCATTTGAACCAAAACATCTTACATGTTTTGAATAAAAAGTTAAAGCACAATTAAAAAAAGTAACAAAATTAGAGCATGTTTTTACTTTCATTAAGTAGAAATATTTCCCATAAGCTCAAAGATACCTACATCAGTAATATCAATTGGTATCTAAGCAAAATAGTAATATATTATATAATTCAACTAATATCTGACTCAAAATACAACTCACCTTTTTCTAGAAATACCAACTAGATTCATTTTTATAGAGCTATTTTACACCTGTTCTTTTATTTTTTCAAACTCACTTTACTGTTAGAAAAACCTAGCGGCGCTATAAAATTAAATTTGAGTTTCATCACAGTCGTATTGACAACAGACGCATAATTTGTAAATCATGGAGCGGCATATCACATTTATGTATCATTGCGTATCATAATCAGAAGATGCATTCGATACATTTGAGTCACTTGTGTCAATGTCACTACTGAAATCCGAAGGGAACCAAGGCGTGGTTCTTAGTTTCTTATGGGATTTCAGGAAGTTTTCATAATATAAAGGACACATCAAGTTGTCTTCTAAGTTTGCTAAGCGTTTTATCTTATCTTCTTCTGGAAAATTAGAAAAATAAAGTTTCAAATTAAAAATTTCTCTAGCACATCACAATAAGATTTTTCTTTATTTTACAGACACACACGCACACACACACACACACACACACACACACACACACACACACACACACACACACACACACACACACACACACGCACACACACACACACACACACACACACACACACACACACACACACACACACACACATATATATATATATATATATATATATATATATACATAAATATTATAAATAAATAATATAAATAAGACACTGAACACTTGACTTTATCTGTAGTGATCAAGTGTAATTGATCTAATTGAGGGGCTCAAGAGACTAAGTGGTACCTCGATATACGAGTGTCCTAATACTAATATAGGAGTGGTTTGTGGATACGAGAGGCCAAGCTAGCAATATTTTCTTTAAGATACACTACACCGCTGCACACGACCCCAAAATGCGCCTCGCATGCTGGGTTAGGATCGTGTGCAGTGCTTAACAGTTTCTCGCACCTCAGACTAGACCTCAGTCTGTATTTTCCCTGGTTTTCGAAGCATTTTTGAAAATGGTTTCGCGTTTTTTGCTTTTTGTACATTTACAAAACATTTAAAGTCTTAAATTATATTTTGTAAAAATAAAAAATACAGGAACATACTTTAATAATGTCTATTAATATCTAAGAAATAAGTACATACATACTTATAGGGTCAAAAATTATAATTATTATCTAATAATTGAAAGTATCAAAACCGAAACTTCAAAGGTAGAAAGCACATTATTTAACCAAAGCGCTCAGTCGTATATTTTTATCTGAGTCTGATCTTCAGAGCAAGCATCTGATTCAGACTCGATCTCTACTTCATCATCCTGGATGCACAACAGAACATGATTGTTGTCAGCCTCTTCTAAAAGTGGATCTATCTAGCATCGTAAATAAATGTCAAAATTTGGATGAATAGTAATCAGCTTCCGAATTTTATCCCGTGATAATCATATTTATTTTGCTTGTATGTATGAGGCTGTGTAAAGACCAGTTTCTTTCCGTGTAAAGAGGCGGAACATAGAGGTCCATTTAACATTTGGGGGGCAATTGGCCTCCCAAATTGGCATAGGTGGCTGCGATATAAATACAGCAAAATACAGGGATTCATGTAGAGGTAATTTCAAAAAGATTAACATACTAACAATGGCTGGAACATACATATATGAATGCTTACTTTTCATTTTTTAAAATAGACATAAATTCTTGATTAACATAAAAAACCATAATACTAATACACAAAACAATCTCATAAACTATAATATACCAATACATAGACTAACAACATCTGGAAAGATCACAGAATATGCCTGTATTAAACTCTTTAATAATTTGCCTTACAGCATCAAAAAAGAAACTGACATAAATAAATACAGAAAGTCTGTTCAACAGTTGCTCATACACCTTGAACCATACAAAGTGGAAGAATACCTTCAAGCTGACCTGCGGGTAGACTGAGGTCTCTTACCTGAATCTAAATATCACTGTTATTATTATTATATTTTAATATTACTTTTATGTTAAGTGTAAGTTGTTACAGCAACCATTATAAAATGTAATTGACACCATTCTCTCTATTGACAATTTATATTTGTGTGTAACTTGTGAATCCTGAGAATAAAGTTTTTTTCTATTCTATTCTATTCTATACACAAACCATCGGAATAAGTACTATTCGCACTATCCCATAAAGAATTTCGACTAAAAATCCAGTTTTTGTTCCAAATTGTGTTAGATTTGCCACCACCTTCTCTACATCTAGATTTAGTGGACAAGCTATTTACAGTACGATCGTGAGAAGGCAAGAGCTATTTATGGTGATTTGCTGAAGCAGATCCCACACACTTCCACAAATGAAGAATCTGAAGACTAGTTTAAAGCCAGTTGGTACCAGTTTGACAACTTTAGAAGAAGGACTATCATTCACTTCATAGTCAAGCATGGTGAAGTAGCAAGTCCGGATATGAAGGCAGCTGAGGTTTACATCAAAACGTTTTTCGAACTAATAGAAGCTAAATGATACATCCTCCAGCAAATCTCAACTCAAATCTTCGAGGGCTTTTAGGAAAAAGAATGCCGAATAGGACTTGGAGAAGACGATCCCAGGTCACAAAGCCTTGAAGGATATATTAACCAATTTGAGTGGCGACTTTAAAATCAGGCCTCAGCTAGTAGGATACTATTTGGAAAATCACAGGAAAACCACCTACCCACACAAGCCCTTCTTGTCCCTGACAATGCCCGTGACCATCTATCAAATCTTGAAGATGATTTACTTGAAGAGTTCAAGTTTATAAAAGTTCTCTGCCTACCACCCAACACCACTTCTACCCTGCAGCCCATGGATCAGTAGGCCATGATTTCTAATTTTAAGAAGTTGTATGTAAATTACATTTTTCGGCACTATTTTGAAGTGATAGAGAACAAAAACCTTACCGTTCGGGAGTTCCGGAAGGACCACTTTAGCATCGTGATATACCTAAGAATTATTGATCAGGCATGACTGGGTGTTTCCACAAGGACCTTAAACTCTGCATGGAAGAAGCTGTAGCCTGAGGCTGTAGCTGAAAGGGCCTTTAAAGGATTGGAACTCAAAGTGTCAGTGGTAGAGGAGATTGTTTCTCTGGGAAAGTCCATGGATCTGGAAGTGGGTGTCTCAGTGGGAACAGTCTCAGTAGCTAACAACCCAGGAGTTACACGATTTATATTCGCAGCAGCATATGGTGATTCAGAAAAATTGATTTTGAAGATGTTATCTCTACAAGAAATATAAAGGGGATTTTGGGAATATAAGAGAAAGTTGTAGAATTTGTGGATAAAAGTCACCTCAAAAAAGTTGTAACTGGTGACCAGTAGCTGTTCAACAAAACTTGACTAACTCATTCCCGCAATATCCTGAAAGGGAGGAGAAACAATCCTCATTTGACAGATTTTTAAAAGATCTGCAGGTGAAAATGAACAACGTGTTATGAAAAAGACAAAGACAGGAGACAAAAATTAAGCTCTTCCATAAGCACTTCACTTTTTCTTTTATTATGTCTTTATAGAATATGTATTTGTTATTTATAAATAAATGTTTCCTCTTGCACATTTTTCTTGTTCAAAAATACTTAACAAAAACAACTGAGGTGGTTTTATGGGAGCTGGAACAGATTAATGGCATTTCAATGAAGAAAATTGCATTGAGGTATGAGTAATTTGAGATACAAGAAAGGTTACGGAATCAATTAAACCCATATGTCTAGGTACCACTATATACTCTCCACATTGTACCACCATAATCACAAATAAGAAGAATAAACTGTTGATAGTATGGTGGTCATTTTTTATGATATAATTTACTCACTGATAGAACACTTTGTTCCACTAAAGAAATATAAAACCTCTACCTTTCCCTCTTGGTTCTCGTCAGAGCTGCGTAACCTAATTATATGTAAAAAACAGGCCCACAAACAATTTAAAATTAGTGGTAGGCAAGATGATTATGACCGTTTTGTGGCTTTAAGAAACCAGTGTGAAATTTTAAGAGCAGACTGTCAGAAACAGTATTTAGATGGGATACAAAATAACATTTCCGATAATCCAAAATATTTTTGGTCTTATATTAAAAGCAAAAGAAATGGGTATAATATACCATCCAGAATGGTCTATAAGGATAGGGTTGGCTTAAATATGAAGGACTCTGCCAATATGTTCGCAGAATATTTCTCATCAGTCTACTCAGATGAACAAAAAGATACTTTACCTTTTTTTAATTTGGACAGTTCTATTTGTTTGAGTTCTATAATACTTACAGCAACTGAGGTGTATGATACTATTGCAAGTTGTAAAAACAGATTATGTGCAGGGCCGGATGGAATCCCAGCCTATTTTCTGAAAAAATGTATATGTGTACTTACAAAACCAATTTTGTTTATTTTTAACAGATCACTTGGTACTGGTAGCTTTCCCAGTCTCTGGAAGAAAAGTTTTTTAAAGCCGATTTTTAAATCGGGTGCAAGGAACGATATATCAAACTATCGAGCTGTCTGTAATCAGTCGGAGCTGCCCAAGTTGCTTGATTGTTTGGTTAGTAAGAAACTGACATGGAGTTATAGAGGCATTTTTAATCCTGAACAATTTGGCTTTATGAGAGGGAGGTCAACAGATACCAACCTGGTTTTGTATGTCAATCATATATATAACAGCTTTGAAGAGGGGTGCCAGGTTGACTCAATCTATACTGACTTTTCCAAAGCATTTGATCGGGTAAACCATGGGGTCCTCTTACAAAAACTAAGAGCTTTGGGTATTTTAGATCCCCTTCTTCAGTGGATTACAGAATTTGTTAGTGGCCGTACGCAGACAGTTAACTTGGGAAGTGACACTTCAATTGAAATAACAGTTCCATCAGGCGTGCCACAAGGCTCCCATTGTGGCCCTGTTTTGTTTTGCTTGTTTCTGGTTGATTTAGTACAACAAATCAAAAATTGTAGTGTTCTTATGTTTGCTGACGATGTAAAACTGTTTAGAAAAATTCAATCCTGGAATGATGCTGTTATATTACAGGAAGATCTTAAATCGTTTTATGATTGGTGCACTTTAAACAAAATGTCACTCAATATAAACAAATGTCATAAAATGACATTCTCGAGGCAAAGAAATCCAATTACATTTGTTTACTACATAAATAACTTGCCATTAGCCTCGAAAAATGAAGTATTAGATTTGGGAATTTGGTTAGACACCAAACTGTCATTCTCAAGCCACATTAACCAAGTAACAAACAGAGCGATGAAAGTGCTGGGATTTATCCAACGCACATCTGTGGATCTGTCTTTATTTACATTTAAAAGACTTTATTGTGGTCTCGTTAGACCCATTCTTGAGTTTGGATCAGTTGTATGGTCCCCATCATACCACTGTTACATTCAACAGATTGAAAGAGTCCAGAATAAATTTTTGAGGGTAGCAGCCTATAAGAGTGGATACAGGAGAGAGGAATATGACTATCAGTGGGTAAGAGATAGTCTTAACTTACCAACTCTTGAGTCAAGGAGGACATTGTTGGATTTATGTTTCTTACACAAAGTTATCAATGCTTTTATAGATTGTCCTCAACTCTTATCGCTTGTTAGTCTTAAAGTTCCTAGTAGAAGCAACAGACAATCAGAAATCTTTTCGGTGCCATTTCACCACACTAATTATGGTACCAATGAACCAACTACACGATTGGTCCGGAGTGCTAATAGCTTGCCAAGACAAATAGATATTTTTGACTCCAAAATTAGTTTGTTTAAAAAACAACTAAAAAATATCTTACAATAAGTTGGTTATACATCTGTATTATTCTTATATGTTTGTATTATTCTGAGGTGTTTGTTATTTTAATAATTTATTGTTGTTAAGGTGTAACTTTTTAAAACTTGTGATTGTTATTTTAATAATATATTGTTTTTAAGATGTAACTTTGTAAAAATTGTAAGTAAATGGATGCCGTATATAAATAAATAAATAAACTACTTACCAAAATTTGGCCCAATCCAAAAGTACTTCCTTTCATACAACCGTTTAAGGCCAGGAATCTGTTGATAACTTTGGTACAGATTTTTGTGTTTTGCAATAAAGTCTAAACACAACATCTGTAAGGTAGATTCTTCTGATACTGCACAGGTTAACCTAACTGCAGATTGAGCTGCCGTAGAACTAACCATGGGGTATAGTTCCTGAGTTTTAATCCCAGTAAAAGCAATTCCTGAAATTATGGAAATAGTTAGGTATATTAAAAGTTCAACTAGAATGAAGAGATACATTTATGCAAGCCACTAGTAGCCATTATGTATTTTTCAGACATATCCCATACAGTATTACATTTTCAAAGGCCTGTGCCTCTCACTGTTAAACACAAAAATAATTTTACGTCTAGAATAGATAGTTAAGATTTGATTTCACATATAGTGCATCTACAATTCGCTTATACATATTGTGTCCTTTCAGGACTCATTAGAGAGAGACTCAGTAAGAAGCCCTAAACGTGAAATCAAATATTTTCTATCAAATATTTATTATCAGTAATAATAAAATAACTTCCTAAAGATGCATACAGTGACATCTAAGACTAAAGCAAAAAGTAAAAATTCTAAGATTTCTACTTGTTTAAAACCAAAATTCAAATTCTTACTTAAATTTATCACAGTTCTTTTAGCTTTAAATATACCACAGAAAATTAGATGTTCTAAATAGTATTATAAAACTTAAACCCAAAAAATCTACAGGCCCTGATGAAATACCACCCTATATTCAAAATTCAAATTAAAATTCTTTATTTTCTTTCTGACAAACATAGTTTGTATAGAATTAGTTATAAATATACATTGCTAAAAACTTAACACTGAACTAGACTAAACAAGACATGAAATGCATTTAAAAGCTAAATGAAATACAGCTAATATCTAAGATCTAAAAAATTCTTCGACTGTATAAAACACTTTTTCACATAAAAATTGCCTAAGATTCCTCATAAATACATTTATTGAACTGGTGGACTGTGGGCAAATGTGATTTAAATTTAATGTTACCTTTTAAAAATGGTATATAAAGTTTATTACAATATCTAGTATTTAAGTTATGCATATCACCACTCGTTTTAAATTGATGTAAGTTATTAAAAATAAAAACACATAATTCAAAAATGTATAGACAAGCCAATGTTAAAATTTTATATTTTTTAAAATATTCTCTACAACTAATTAGTCGGGCTACACAACACAATAGTTTCTTTTGTATGACGAAAATACCATCTGCATAACCAAACATACACCAAAAACATATCCCGTATCTTAGCCTGATCTCCATTCGTTGATTTTCCATCAAAACATATTTTAAATTTCTAATGAGACAGTTAATGGAATTCAACTTCGAAACAACTGCTCCACAATGCAACTTCCAATCAAATCTTTCGTCAATTTTTATTCCCAAAAACTTGACTGATGACACTGTAGCTATTTGCATGTTGTTAAAATTAAACTGAAGATTTTCCAGGTATTTTTATTTATTGTGAAAATGTTACTTGTGTTTGTTCTGCATTAAGATGCAACAAGTTATCGCAAAACCAAGAATATAAAGATGAAAGAAAATCATTACATTGATGTTGTAGGATTATGGCGGATTTGTTAGATATAATAATTGACATATCATCTGCATATATAGTGAAATTTACCAGTCTGTCCATGTGTATGATGTCGTTAATGTAGACTACAAAGAGAATTGTACATATTATAGATCCTTGGGGAACACCCATGTTTGTAGTAACAAGACTAGATCTACAACTGGTCACACAATCCTCCATCCTCATCTACAGGCTCACATATTGTTGTCTATTGTTTAGAAATGACATAATCCTTTGTAAAGAATTTCCTGTAATACCTATCTGTTTTAGTTTTTTAAATATTATTTCATGGTTGACACAGTCAAATGCCCTACTACTATATCTATAAGGGAATGGCTGAACCCTTGGCTAAACCTCTGGCTTTTTGTTTAATATGTCGATTGAACAGGAATATTTTCCACATATTTTAAAAGTGGCAACAATTTCTCCATACATAAAAAATATAAAAAAAATTACATTCAAGACTACAGGCCTATCAGCCTGTGCTAATATTTTTGAAAGATGATATATATCAGCATGTTGAGAGTAAAATCAACAAATTCCAGCATGGTTTTGTAAGAGACAAATCAACAGTAACCAATCTCTGTGTTCTCTATGAACATAATGCTAAGGCTATTGAGGCAGAGGAACAGTTGGATGTTCTGTATTTGGATTGCGAAAAAGCATTTGATAAGGTAGATCACTGTATTCTTTTAAATAAATTGGTACAGTTTGGTTTCTCAAGAATAGCTTTTAATTTATTAAAATCTTATTTGTCAGATAGAAAGAATACAGTAAAAGTAGGTAATTGCTTTTCTCACCAATATGTGTCATCCTCAGGAGTTCCACAGGGGAGCAAACTAGGACTATTGCACTTTATTCTATTTATTAACTACTTGCCAGACTGTATTAAATCTTGTAACAGCTTAATGTATGCCGAAGATTTTAAACTCTTCAAAACAATCTCTAATAAGAAAGATGCAGTCAAATTGCAAAATGATTTAAGATCAGTTATTCAATGTTTTAACTATACAAAAATGACTCTTAATGTTAAAAAGTGTGAAGTAGTTTCATATAAGCGAAAACTCAATAGTGTTATTGAAGATTATTATATTACTGATGATCAAGTTGAGAGAGTGAGTATTATGAAGGATCTTGGAGTTAAATTCCAAATTAATATTAAGTTCAATATACACTTTTATGAAATAACTAACAGAACTTATAGTGCTTCATGTTTTGTCATTAGAAATAGCAAAAATTTCAGAACGAGCACAATTATAAAACTCTATAATGCCCTGGTGAGACCACATTGGAATATACTTTAATCATCTGGTCTCCTACTGCATTTTCAAACTGAGAAATGATTGAAAAAGTGCAAAAACAATTTTTATGATTTCTATATGTAAGGAAAAATAGAAATATCCATATGTCGTTTCATACAGGGTAATGTTAGACTCATTTCAGTCACTTGCCAATAGAAGAAACAGTCAGGCCATTATGTTCATATACTTGATTGTTAACAGTATTAAGTACACAAACTGTGATTTAATTGATTTTATTTACTTTAGAGTACCCAAGAGTAGGTCAAGGATAACTAACCTAGATCTACTCTTTACAAATTACTATAGAAATATATCACCAATGAACAATATGCTAAAAATTTGTAATGAAGTATTTAATAAACTGACTCATGTGGATATATTTAATGTAAAAAGCTGTGAACTTAAAACATTGCTTGCTCATCAGCACTATGTTTAAGGGGTTTATTGTATTTTTTCTTATTGTATTATTAATGTTCGTTTCTTTCATTTATTGTATTATTTTTTGTCTTAAACAGTTTACATGTAATTACTATTAGTCTATAGTGTTTGTAAGGTGTCTAAATAAATAAATACATACAAAGCAAGCAGACAATGAATAGACCAACATGGGGAATCTAAAATTACATTCCACATCATATTGATTCATCCAGGCAAGAACCTTTTATGAACTGACTTCTAATACTAAAAATATGTTGTTCCTCTACAAATTCTCTTATATATATATATATATATATATATATATATATATATATATATATATATATATATATATATATATATATTTCATCCTTTCAAAACTCATCCATTTTCGCTTTATTCTTAGATGTCACTGTATCCATCTTTAGAAAGTAATTTCATTATTACTCCCTTTGATGGAAAATATTTGATTTTGTGTTTAGGGCTTCTTACTATGTCACTCTGAGGAGTCCTAGAAGGATGAAACATGTATAGGCAAATTATAGAGGCACTATAATATGTGAAATTAAATCTTAACTATCATTTCTATAGCTTTATTTACTCATGTTTTGAGTATTAAAAGCCAGTTCATGAAATGTTCTTATTTAGATGAATCCATATGATGTGGAATGGAATTTTAGATTCCCCATGTTGGTCCATTCATTGTCTGCTTACTTTGTAAATTGTAGAAGGCAGATATTTGAGTAAGAATTTGAATTTTGGTTTGGAACACATAGAAATTTCTGGATTTTTACTTTTTGCTTTAATTTACTTCTGTATAAAATATGTATATATCTCTTTTATTGCTTACCTAAAGGTTTTCTATTTAAAAAATATTCTAAAGTTCCTTTGTTCATATCTAAATGAACTCCAATAGAGCTACCCAACCCAAATTTTGATCCATACTTCCTAACTAATTTGTTGTGTTGAATAAGTCCATGGTAGGAGTAACCCCATGATTGAGAATCTATTCCTAGTAGACTACAGAACCTAAATTTCCAGTCAGCAAATACAACTTTTGCTGTACCAACACCTACCATCTAGAAAATGACAAAATAATACAAGTTTAATGTAATGGTTAGGCTTTTTATCCAATAGTTACCAAGACTAATTATTTATCATAGTTAGATCACATAAATAATAAATTGTTAATGAATATTAACTTAAAAATATTTAAATCAAGCAAAAAAACAGCATAACTGATTAAACACAATATCACACTTTATCACATATCAGGCAGATACATTCATAACGTACTCACCACATCGGTTCCATACATATTTGAAGTCATTTGCACTTCCCAATAATAATGTAAGTTTCTCTCAAATGGTATGGTTCCTCTCACAGCTGCAGTACCAGAACTATAGCAAGGATGAAATAAAATATCCTTATTATCATTAGTTATTCTCGTATCGGGTGAACTATGGGCTGGGGACCATTCCCAAATAAATATCCCAATATCTTCAATACATTTGCATTGCACTACATCTGCATTTAGTTTTGCTTTTTCTCTGCATTTTTCAATACACAATGGATGCTTACACTTCATGATTCTCACCTTAATGTTGCCCAATGGTGTTAGAAATGATTCCTTAATGAGGATTTACCGTAAGTACCTCTAATTATATTTCTAATCGCTTTATTTTATAGGCACTCGTTTCATTAATGGTATATTTACAATTATTTGACGTAACCAATTCTTGCTAAAACTGTGTTTGCATTAAAAAAGTTTAATGAATGTCTGCGTCAGACGTCAGTTATCATAAACCTGATTGGTTCATTTTGACATGGAATGTTAACAAACATGTTATTATTATTATTATGAGTGATCCATAAGTTAATTTATTTGCAGATAATTAGGTACCAGTGTACTAAATTATCCTGAACTTACAGTATGTACTTTACGAATTTTCATAATAAATGCCATATTCATATATTGACAAAAAATATTATTCTAACTTTACAGTGTAGAATTGTTTTTGTTCTCACTCATACTTAAGGAACAGAGTAGCCAAGAAAATTACTGCTTTCATTGGTAAACTTTTTATTACGTGATTTATGTCATCGGGTTTGTTTATGCTTGAGTGACATTTTAATGACAGCACAGCAATGAACAGAGGAGTGTATTGATTTAATTTTCTATAGTTTTTCTTTAAAAATAAGTATTTGAAACATGGGAAACGTTGACACGAAATTAAATTTTAGAAAAGCTGTCGTTCAACTTACATCCAAGTCAGAGGTAATTAACTCATTAACAATAAATTCATCATTAAAACAAATTTATATTTCCAGCCAATTGACTCCAGTGACGATTCTTTTTGGGAACAGTTTTGGTCAGAAAACGTAACAAATGTTCAAGATATATTTACGTTGGTCCCAGCAACAGAAATACGACAGTTACGGGAAGATGCCCCTTCGAATTTAGCGACATTGTGCTATAAAGCAGTTGAGAAACTCGTAAAAGCTGTTGATAACAGTTGTCGTACACATTATGAACAACAAACTGGTAAAACGTTTTTATTTTTCATATATTATTAACGTCCATTTATTTAATAGTAATTAAAATGCCTTTTTGCCCTACATAATAGGTTTATAATTTCATCCTTGAACTTACTTGCTACTATAGCTTTATTTATCAAATGGTTAAATATTAAAGGACATAGATAATAATACATATTGATTAATTTTCTATTGGAAATTCTATTGTGCTTAAATGACAAGGGTAATTGGTCATTAATTTCAATATTATTTTTAGCATTCATTAAATGTAGACAATACTAATAGTTACTTACACATGCTTTAGGTAGCTTTTTTAAAATTTACTTCTTTAAAATTCAAAGGTGTAGATTATTCTGATCTTTTACTTTATCAGTAACATCTACATAGAACTGTATAAATGCAAAATATGTTTTTAAATAAAACTGGGACTAAAATTCAGTTGAATTCTCTTAATATTTTACTTACACATGATTTTGGAAATCTACCTGGTTTTGATCTACCTTATTTATTTAGTCTGCTTTTTCATTAAATAAGTCAGAGGCAAGGAAAGCTGATTAAACTATTGGGAAACACATTCCTCAAGTTAATTAAAAAAATTAATTTATCAAAATTGTGTGCCATAAATTTTACAATTATTAATGGTCAGCATTTAAATTCTTGTATGTTATTAGGGATATGCCATACTGATAGTGTCTTTTTTAGTTTTGAACTGTGCAAGACTGTTGACAAGAATTTTACCATACATCTTTGAAGATCCTGAATGGAAAGACTTTTTTTGGTCATCTTTGCCAAGTAGAGAGGAAGAATATGATGAGTCTGTACCTTTGGCTCACTCTTTGCTTAATTCTGTGTGTGTAAGTCACTTTTTGTTGTTTATTAATAACTATAGACACATCTACAGACAAAAGCAATATAAAACAGTAATATCAGAGCAAAAAATTATTATGTACATAAAATAAATCATAACTTTCTTTAAAATGCTGTACTATTGACTGTCTCTGAAATATGAGAGGTGATAATACTGCAATGATTTAATATCTAAAATAACAAATCGAAATACTCTTACAAAGAAGTATTTCCAGAAAGGAGTCAATACTACCATCTGTCATTAAGAAGTATTTACCTAATACTTGTATTTAAAGTTGGAAAATGGTCTCTAATGTTGTAATATAAACAAATTTTAAATTTAATATTCATTTAAAATGATGTGTATATAAATTATTTCCATATAAATATAGTTTCAGTTCCTTAATTAATATTATTATCATTTCTAGGACTTACTCTTCTGTCCGGACTTTACTGTTGTGGCAAGCAGAAAAAGTGGACCAGTAAGTGTATTATTATTCTTTGTATATTGCCAACACCTACTAATAATTATTTTACAGGACAAGGCTGAAGAATTATCTGCTATTGACAGCTGTGAATATATATGGGAGGCTGGAGTAGGTTTTGCCCATTCTCCACCTAGAAATCCCACTTTTGATGCTAACAGAACTGAATTATTGAAACTGCTTCTTACCTGCTTTAGTGAAACTATGTATCATCCCCCTGCTGATATAACAGAGAATCCTAACAAGTGGATCTTGTAAGTACAATGTACCTATCTCATGTTTCAGAAATTTTGTAGCACTGTAGTTCTTGCAAATGCGTTTTATTAGCTGTATTAATATTTTTGAAAATTATTTCTTTACTTTTTATATTTTCCAGCTATTTGCTTTGTCCCTTTTAGAATGTTGTTATTTTTACATGGTAAATCCCATTTTTTTGGCCTCTTCATATCTTTATTGTCTCACTTTAACATTTTTTTAATTATTCCATTATTTATTTTACAATATACAAATTGAATATATTGAATTGAAAAATATATTGAATATCATATAGGAACTGTTGGTTTTCCAAAAATTGATTCATAATTAGAATTTGATCTGGGATTTTTTCCTTGATATACTTCAAAATTCACCAAGTAACCATTTGGACTATTCAACAACCAAACCTTGTATCCAAATCTTACTGGTTTGCCACGGATGAATTGTTTACTTCCATGGCGACCAAAATACCTAATCATTGATTCATCATAGGAAAGATTTGGTTCAGGTATAAAGTGTTTAAGAAAACTTGATTTTAAGTGATCTGTAATTAGCTGAAGCTTGTATATTTTATCAGAGGTGTCTACATTATTATTATTAGCAAAATGAATAAATCTGCAGATTTGCAAGAATCTATTACAGTGCATGGCTTCTGATATCATAATATTTTTCATATCATCTGAGTTTTCCCAATAACTTCTTTTCGATGGCAAAACATTGATTCCTCTGAGGATCAGAATACCAATAAAAACTTTTAATTCTTTTATGGTCAGATTAGGATCAGGACAATTTTGAAATAAAGCATAGTTTCAAGTATCTCATGAACAGCTCAACGATTCATATTTAGAGTAGTCCCCTGGTGGAAATGTACTACTACCGGTTTGCAAATCTCTTTCAACAAAATTGGTGACTGCTGGTTTGATGGCTATATTAAGTGAATAACTGTCCTTATTTGGAACATGTACATGAGTTGATGCAGATAAAATATCAATATTAACAAGGTTGAGTCCCAGTCTGTCTTTGTTCACAAATACAATCTCAGCTGGAGCACTCAGTTATCCTGCCGACAAATTGTCTGCTAAACCACTCTCATCTTCATCTGCAGAGTCTTCATCAGTTAAGATGTTACTATCAGGAGGCTCAATATATATATATATATATATATATATATATATATATATATATATATATATATATATATATATATATATATATATATATATATATATCTGTGGCATTTCCTTCATTATAAGCTATATCTAGAGCTTCTTGAAGCGCAATTCCCCTAAAATAAAGCACATTATTCTTAAATGGATTTAACACCTAACGAACCCATATAAACACACCCATGTTTAGAGGCAAATTTTATAGCCATAATAATTTAGATAAAAACAGTTTTTACATAATAACATTCTTTCACATGTTATTGATAGTATACATATAAATGCAATTAGCTAGATAATATTTTCAGAGCTAAATAATACACAAATTTGATGTCCATATTTTTCATGAATATTACTATCACATGTATTCAAATATCCAAATCAAATGAAAACTTTTACCACTGGTTCGCACAAACTCTCCTAGGCATGTATTGACATGTATTAAACTTGTCTGACCATTCAAACCTAAAAGGCAGCGTACAACTCTGTAAATAGAAGAGAATTGTTTAGAGCAATGATACACCTAGGAGTACCAAGTCAGTTGGTAAATCTAACTAAACTAACCCTTGAAAAAGTTGAATGCAGAGTATGAATCCATGGGGAACTCTCTGAACCTTTTAAAACAAATAATGGGCTATGTCAGGGAGACCCACTCTCCTGTATACTATTCATTCTAGCTCTGGAAAAAGTAATATGTACGTCACAAATCACAACTACCGGTTCAATATATAATAAATCTGTGCAAATCCTAGGATATGATGATATCAATATTGTTGGGAGAAAACGCAGCGTGAGAGGCGTACGTAGCACTAAAGGAAGCAGCTACAAAAATGGGTTTAATAATAAACACCAATAAAACGAAATACATGAAAATAGGTACGCAACCACAAATACTACGGCCACTTGTTATAGAAAACGACGTCATCGAAACAGTTAACGAATTTGTATACCTGGGAACACTCATCAATACTGAAAATGATACTACCGCAGAGATAAACTGCAGAATTTGCACGGCTAATAGATTTTATTTTGGGCTTAATCTCATTTTTAAATCTACAGTTATATCAAGAGTACAAGAGTACAAAAGTAAAACTACAAAACAATAATATGCCCAGTCCTAACATATGGTTCAGAAACCTGGACTTTAACAAAAAGCAATGAAAACATGTTAGGATGTTTTGAAAGAAAAATACTAAGGCGAATCTATGGAACGGTAAATGAAAATGGTGTCTGGAGAAGACGATACAACTTCAAACTCTATAGAATATACCAGGAACCAGATCTGAGACGTCTGAGGTGGCTAGGCCATGTAATGCGGATGGAGCAAACTGACCCAGCTAGAAAAATGCTCCTTGGTAGACCTATTGGTCAAAGAAGAAGAGAAAGAGCCAGAACAAGATTCCTAGATAACATAGATCAAGATATGAGAAATATGGAAATATGTGCTTGGCAGAGGAAGGCGATGGATAGGGACGACTGGAAAATAATTCTTGGGGAGGCTAGGACCCACACAGGGTTGTAAAGCTAAAATGTTGATGACCACTCAAACCGCTTCGGATGTCCCCACTACAAAAAATTCTTCACATTTTAAAAACCTCCTTCTAACAGGCCCATATGGTACCGTTAGGCGCTAATGGGTTAATTATTAATTATTAATTCAAAATATACAAAGCACATGAAGAAATCTAAAAGTATTCAAATCTCATTGGTCTCAAAGCAGTTGGCAAAGAGTAATTGTTTTAATTTGAATTTAAATCTTCCTAGTTGACTTTTCTTCCTAGTTGGCTACAGGATCAGGCAATTTGAGTATATTTGTACCAGATGTTTGTACAAAACTTACTCCTTGGCATAGTATGGTAGTCACGTACATCTTCAACCAGACACATGGCTTCAAAATAGATTTTAAAAACAAAATTGGCTCCACCATCTTTTAGAGAAATATATACGACCTAATAATAGATTCACCCTTGCCATTTATTCAACTTTTTGAATTTTGCATAATGGTAATAGATGAAAAACTGATTTTTTTTTCAGATATTTAACATCTGCTGAAAATAGACATGCACTTCCAATGTTCACGTCTTTGTTAAATACAGTATGTGCTTATGACCCTGTAGGTTTAGGTGTACCATATAACCATCTAATATTCAGCGACTCTTTGGAACCACTAGTTGAAGCTGCTCTTCAGATCCTCATTGTTACCCTAGACCACGATACCAGCTCTTCAACACCAGCCGAAAGTGAAGATGTAAGTTTTTTGTGATATTTATGTATATAATATACAGATATATAAGGGTTATAAATAATAGGTCATTCAATAAGTTGCATGTTTGAATAATAAAACAACTTTTAAATATATTTCTACCCTCAACATAGGCTTCTTCTAGTGTAGTAAACTGATTCTAAGATTTTTCACAATCACTTCTTCATTTAATTCAAATATCTTCATAAAACATTTTTATGAGCTCTGTAAATAGACAGGAATCACTGGGAGCGAGATCTAAAGAATACATTAGCCAATGAAAAAATTTGAAGTACCATTCATTCAATATATAGTCTATAGAGAGAACTTTTTCATCTAAACTGGAAGTTGCCAGGATAGCTTTGATTGTGGGAGATATGTTTTTTAATAATTCCATGTGAACAAGGCTTCTCAATTAACTCACCACAGTTTTAGTTAGTCAACATAATTTGTGATTAAATTTTTTTATGCAAATTACAAAAAATGTCTTTCACATCACATTAAAACCATTGATCTTATGCTTTTTAATTAGTAATCATTCATGTTTCCCCTTTAGTAAGCCTGTTTCTTTTAGGTACAGCATTTTCTGTAAGGATAGGTCTTTTCTGGGAAAATATTTTATTGAACCATCTTTATCTTTATAAATATTGAACTATTTATTAATTCTAATTTATTGTTCTTATTTTAATTCTAAAAGTTCAATATTTATAACACTCACGAATTTATCAAAGTCTTTATTACTACTAATTTATTTTACAAATAATTTATTTACGTGCGATACAATTCTAACGCGAGACCAAACTTCTTCTCTTGACTAACTGTTGGCCACAATAAAATCTCCGTTATTATATATGAAAATACAGCTATTCGAGAATTCCTCTGATTATACTAGGCTGGGTCATCATTCGACCGGTTTCTGGAAACTTCGAACGACCGCTTCAGGTAGATTTGTGCCAGCTGATCGAAGGGTCTCGACGAGTCTACAACATATTGATAAATAAACAACATGTTTACAGGTTTTTTTTAATAAGACTAATTTTTACGTAACAATATCTCTATTTTTTCGAGTGATACTAAACAAGATCGCAATACTATAGGTGATCAGATACGTTAATAATATCGTATATACTTTTTAGGTTTCAGTTCCGGATAATCTGTTCATCAATTATCTTTCCCGTATACACAGAGACGAAGATTTTAATTTTATCTTGACTGGTATAACACGCTTACTAAATAATCCACTAGTTCAAACTTATCTACCAAATTCCAACAAAAAAGTGCATTTCCATCAAGAATTGTTAGTCTTCTTCTGGAAATTATGCGATTATAACAAGGTAAGCCGAATAACATATACTATGTGACAGTACGCTTTTGCGTTTTTTACTTTTAATTATTCAATACCAATCACCTGTATTTCTTTTATCGATTCTAAAATTACATATTTTGTTTCCAGAAATTTTTATATTATGTACTGAAAAGTAGCGACGTTTTAGAAGTGTTAGTTCCTATTTTATACCATTTGAATGATTCCAGAGCTGATCAATGTAAGTTATTTATTATATCAAGGTTCTGAGACTAATTTTTGTGGTATGTTTATTTTATATGTAATAAAAGCACAATTGATTGCAATGAGAATTATATTTTAACAATTAAATTTGCTTTGACGTTTAAAAAATTCTGAAATGAAAATTTTGTATGATCTTATCCTGCAAATGTTTATAATTGGCGTTGGGTGGCTTAGACAAGGAAAGAGAGAGGACACGTAACCGTGTCGCTCAAAGTGAAACTAAACTGCCACCAGAGGATGTGGTCAGCGACGTATCTTTGTATTTTTAAGGATTGACTAATTCGTATTTAAAATGAAACATTTTTGTACATTAAATGTTTTATTTAATTTATTTTATTTTATACAAATATTTTAGAATCAAAATTGACGAAATTTATTTATTTATTTACTTATTTATGGAATTTTATGAAATTTTAACCCTCAACGCACATCGCCACTGGCAAGTCATCATTTATACAAATATTTTAGAATCAAAATTAACGAAATTTATTTATTTATTTACTTATTTGTGGAATTTTATGGAATTTTAACTCTCAACGCACATCGCCACTGGCAAATCATCATGGAGTGTGAGTGAAATTATTAATTATAATACAATTACTGAAATAACTATGCATATTTAGCATTCTTATTTACTAATTTAAATCTCACTTTTCCTTAAAATACTAATTTAAATTGGTTTTGAGGTTTAAAATTGAAATAAAAAGTAAACTTAATCAATACCTAATTGCACTATTATAAATATTTTGCACCATTTTGTTAAGTAAAAAAAATAGGTGTTTAATTCACTTTTTTTTAAAAACCACAAAAACATAACTGGTGTCAGATCTATTGTTTGCTACCAAAAAATGGCGGACACATCGAAAAGTGGCTTCACTTTTTGAAGGTTGGTTGAACGAGCGTTACCCATCCTCTCTCTTTCCTTGTCGTAAGCTGGGTGGTAACACCAATTTGACAGTTGACTTACTTGGCCTCGATCTTATTAGTTTGTCTAAGTTTGGCTCAGTATTAGCCATGTTTAGAGTTAAATTCTGAGAGATGTAGTTGAACTCTAGGATTGTGATTTAGTACATTGTAATTGATTGAATATTACAATCAATTGTCGTTTAATTGTAAATAAAATAATATTTAATTTATTTATTATCTTAAACTTTAAATCTGCTGAACTGTTAACATAAATGTATGAAGTAGTCATGTAAGTTGTGACTATATTGCGAGTTTCTGTCTGTTCAGCTCTTTTGGTGGTAACTTTGACTATTATACCAGGTGTTGCGTCGTTATTTGATGTGGGAAATTCTATATGTTTTTTAATCGTGTCTTTAAGGTTCTTCAACTTTTATTTTGTTTTTATAAAAGTCTATTTAATTCTAGAACTAAATTAAATAAAATATTAAACAAAAAACCCACACCTAAAGGTTTTAAGGCGAATCTGAATTATTAAAAAAAATTAAAATGATGGAATATTTATTCGAAAGGAAAGAAGAACTATTTGAAAGGTTAAAAGATAGTTTCAGGGACGTGGAAATTGATATCCAGAAGACAAAAAATACTGCATGAACGGACATAGAAAAGGTTGTGATGCTATTGGTATCTTTTCGAAGTTATGCTGTTGAAATAATTCAGAATGTGGAATCTGGAACAGCAACAAACAAAACTTTGCAAATTTGTGTAATCTTGACAGAAGATTCGACGACATGTAGTTGGTTTCGCTTTATAGAAATTGATACCGTCCACAAAGTTCTGGTGAAACTTTATAAAAAATCAGCATTTTTATGGCGCGTTTAGTAAGATTGTCGACGGTTTTTAAAGGGTTACCGAAGACGTCAAACAAAATCGTTTCAATATGTTATCCAACAGTCCCCGCTTATTTAAGAAGTTAACTTTCTTTGCAAATTGTTGCGTCTTTTACACTGTCTGTGACGCTTTCTTTGTATTTTGTTCACTGCTATTTTTATAATCCTCTGCCCCTATGTATTTCTTTCATTTCTCTCATTTCGAAACAACATACCAGTTTGCAGCTCTTTTGCAATTATTATAGAGTGGGATGTGTCCAGAGCAATTAGATAAAGATTCAGCAGCAATATGACCAACAACGAACGTTTTACTAAGTATCACCAATAGGCCCAACGACCAGTGGTGCATCGTGGCGTTTTCCACAATTCTCCTTCAGTCTCTTCTCTTCTTAGATCCTTCACATTCTGCATCAATCGCTTTCTTGGTCTACTTCTCCATTCTATTCCTTCCATTCTTTCGTACAAAGTTTCCTCTGAAGTCACTGCGGAGAGATTCCAATTATTCAAGCCACTACAGTTTTCTTGACTTTACAAATCCAAATAAAGAAGCTGCATATAACGGCCATTCCTCATGTTAAATTTAATAATGAAACACAAGGTCCATTCTGGCCATATTATTTTATCTTTTTAGGGTTACGTCTGAAAGACTCGACGTATTGCAATGTATGGAAAGTCATTAGAATCGGAGGAGGGTGAAGCAGGTGGAACGTGAGATGTGGGATATGTCATTCGATGTAAAAAGCTATTTGTGACGTGAAAGGTGACATTTGACGTGAAACATTTGAAGAATCGTTACTGTGTGAACTGTTAAAATAACAGAGCTCTTGGAATAGATAATCTCCCTGTCAAACTCTTTAAAAACGGCGTCGACACACTGTTAAAACACATGCATAAGTTAAATGAAATCTGGCATAGAATGGAAACACCCATGGACTGGAAAGGTCTACTATACCTATTTCACAAAAAGGGCAAATGATAATTAAGACAAGGTGACGAACTATCGTGCCTCCTTTCTAATCTTGCACTGGAAAAGGTTATTCGTGAGTCCCAGATTAATACGAGTGATACAATATTTGACAAATCTGTAGAACTGGTTGGAGATGCAGACGATATTGACACAATCGCCAGATCTACAGAGTTGCTGACAGAAGCTTTTCAGTCTTTAAGGGTGTCTGCACTGTAAATGAGACTAAACATAAATGCCCAAAAAACAAAATATATGTGCATCTCCAAGTCTGGTAATCAGACACCTAGGCTAATAATAATTGACGATATGGAGTTAAAAGATGTGGACACCTTCATATACCTAGGTTCATTATTGATTAAGGATAACAACGTCAGCGAGGAAATCAAAAGAAGAATAATTATTACCAACAAGTGTTACTATAGCCTGGGAAGATAAATGGCCTCAAAACCTAAAAAGTTTTAACATACAGAGCTGAAACGTGGTCACACACAGAATGACCAAGAATTGCTCAAGCGTTAGAGCGAAAGATTGTAAGAAGAATATACGGAGGACTAAAGAGGGGGGTTTGTGGCGTAGACGCTATAACTTTGATTTATATAGTAGCTTCGGGGAAGCTGACATTGAGAAAAGTATTTCTCTGAAGAGGACTAGTGAGACGACGTACCAGAAGCAGACCGAAATTTAGGTACTTGGACAACTTGTTGTTGATAAAGATGTTCTAAAGAAAGCTCATAATAAATTCCTCACGTAGCCTTTAAAAGAGCATTCCAAAGTCAACAAATTTATATTTTTTGCTATTCATTAATTTAGATATTTTAGCAATTTGCTTTAAACATGACAAATGTATGGCAAATTTTTGATACAAGACACAACTTATTCAAATTTAACACTTACTGTATAGTATGGTATTTACTACACTAGTATTAAGCTTTCTCTATTTTTTTTAATCAAATTTAAATTGTGCAGCTTTATGGCCAATCACAATAGAAATAAATATTGGGTAAATACCATGAGTTATGAAAATATTTAATAAATACATTATTTACAAGTAAAATTTTAAGATCATTTAATATTTCATTATTAGAAATCCATGATTCTGTGTTAAACTAAAATTATACACAATATCGTTAAAAATTTACAATCATAAATTGTTAACTGTTGATATTAAAACTTCCAGTATACACTAAGACACAATTACAAATAATCTGTTGAAAAAATACTATACACTAATATGTCACTCTAATAATGCAATGAAGTCTTCACAATTTGAATCCACATTCACATATAAAAGATAGAAATCGTTGAACATGAACAGTTTTTACATTTTTGTTAGATTTATATATGTGGGACTTTTGTTAGATTTATATATATATATATATATATATATATATATATATATATATATACCTATATATATATATATATATATATATATATATATATATATATATATATATATATATATATATATGTATACAGATTGAACGAATTTAAAACGGATCATACAATTTAATATATGTCTGTTTGAACTGCATTTGAAATAGTGGACCAATATAAAACTTGTGACAAAAATAAATCCATACCCGGTGTTAGACATTGTATAAAATATCGTTCAACTATCCGTCAACTTTTAGAACCCACCATAGTCTAGAGCGCAGCTCAAAGTCAATGTTGTCAATCGCCGTGTAATAATCCGATTTGCGGATCTTTTTGAGAGTTATATCTTCTTCGTATCTTTAAATAAATCGGATATTTGCCTATATTTTTCATTGTATTTACCAATCTACTACAACAGACTAATAACAAAAATAAACTTAATGGTTTGTAGTTATTTCAGAAGTTTGTAGTTATTTTAGAAACAACTAGTGGAATGATATTGGCAACACCGCTCAAAATCTCCATCTCCGATAAACGAAAGAGGGGCTTGCCTAAAGGCGGCCACTCACGATACAGAGGCGTTGTTCAACTGCGTTTTTAACTACACACTTGCTTTGATCATATTATAGAAAATCGAAATTTCTTGATTTAGCGAGAATTTTTTAAGAGAGTTTTTTAAATTATATAAAAAACAAGAATGCTTATTGGGACCGTGCAAGTTCGGAACAGCGACAGCTGGTGTCGTAAATCAGCAAAATTTACTGCGCTTTTATGTTAGATCGAGGTAACCGGATAACTGTCAAGGACGTGGCCCCAAAAAAGAATAAGAAGAAAAAGTAAGATTGAGGTTATGTCGGTATGTTATTAAAAGGTAAACGTTGATGTAGCGTAAATACAAATAAATATATTATTGAATTACAGCATTACTGGTAATATGGATTCAATACTAAAAACTGGATTTGAGAAAGTAAATCACAAAATAACTTTTCAACCAAGCACTGAGTCTTAGGAAAAAGCTTTAGTAGTGGCAAATGTCAAAAAATAATGGAAGAATTAAGAAAAATAAATTACCATAAATAATGCTAATGCATAAATTAGCAGGTTAAGCCCATGATATCAGCATATTGGTTTGAACAATTAATTCTTTCCCTGTAAACTTTTGGACAGCGAATATATCTTAATGCATCTTCAGAAAAACTTGAACTTGATGCATTCTTGTAAACTTCAAAAAAATAAAATTTAAACATTAAACTTGATTTTTGGGTTAAAATGAACTTTAAGTGAGTATTATGAAACTAAAATTTACACTTAAAAGTGAACTTTTATTTATTTCAAACTGACTTTAAAATCGGGCGCAAGAATAATGCATAATTTGGGTTATGTTACTTATGCTTTTTTATGATATAAATCCACTTTTCTCTTTGTAGTAGCTTTGTGCTTCGAAGTTGGAAACGAATAAAACTTAAATTGACAATTTTTTGTTGTATTTTTACAATTTATAACACAGCATTTCCTAAATCCCATTTTCTTCAGAGACAGAAGGTGTAAATGTAAATAAACAAAACGAATATGAAATATGACAGTTGACAATATGAATTTATGAAATTAATGAAATGTGCACTAAAAAATGCAAATTTTCTCCGCTACTCGCGCACGATCGTTTCTCGTATCCCCTCCAAGTACTTGCACGTCGCCAATAGCGAATAAAAGGTAAAACGTATCACGATAGAAACGCCCGAAAACAGGCAATGGACATTCTAGTTTTAAAGTTCCAAGAAGTAAACAAAGATGCGAATGAAGAGTATGTAAGAAAAAAAATTAACAATTTTAGAACATCCTATAAAAGAGAATTAAAATTAGGAGTGCAGTCCAGTAAATCGGGTGCAGGGGCAGACGAGATTTATTTTGCACCAAAATCTTAGATTCTTTGCACCAGAATCTACGTTTTATTTTAGGTTTATTTTTACGCTTAGTTATACACAAAGTAAGAGATGCTAAAATGATTGTTTGATTTGACATGGTCGAGAACCGAACAAATACTGCGGCGCAGTATGGTGTGTGGGCGCACCAGATATACCAACAAATTGAACAACGCCTCTGTCCGATTATGTCGAACGACACCGCTGTACCGTGAGTCGCCGGCTTTAGGAAGCGATAGGTGGTTTGACCACCTATGAATGAGTTCTTGAATTAGTTCAGAATCCAGCAGCCCGCTGAAGTATTGGTTTTTTATAATATAATTATTTGACAACCTTTTGTTGGCCAACCACCTACAGCAGAATTGAGCCGAAATACATAATATTTCGTATGTTCCGAATTTATTTCGTTCAATCTGTATATAGCTCTCTTCAATGAATCTGAAATTATATTTTTGTTGGAAATGATTAGCTAACCCATAATTGATCCATGGTATTTCCTACGCCCTCTGACGAAGCAATACACCGTACTTATTATAAATATTTTTTAGCACGAGTTGGCTTGATGCACATCGGAGTATTTATACTTCTTCTACTGTCTGGCGAACGGAACTTTGGGGTTCGTCTTAACAAACCTTACACCGCTACAATTCCAATGGACATTCCAGTTTTTACCGGAACTCACGCCGATCTCTTAATAATCGTATTTCATAAAATAATTACCACCGGCCATCAAAGACTACAGCCTCTTTTTGATTGTCTGCTGACGATTCTAGTCAACGTTTCCCCTTACTTAAAAACATTGTCCATGGTTTCGAGTACGAAGCTTCTACACTTATTGGAAGCATTCAGCACGCCCTGGTTCTTATTCTCTGCTTCCTCGAATCACCATCTAGTATTTTTCCTTCTTGAAATCTTCAACAACATCATCCAATATCAGTTCGACGGGAACTCCAATCTTGTATATACGATTATAAGAAAACGCCAGGTATTCCACAGTTTGGCCAACTTACCGGTCGACTACAGCTCCATCTCGAAGTCGATCAACAAGCGAACGAAGAAGAGAATGTCCAGCTCTATCAGTCACGAAAACATCAACGAGCAAGCCATGGAAGGATCTCATCCGGCACTTCCCGCCGAGCCGGGCACGCTGAAAGCCACTCTTCCCGATACCCCGCAGATTGCGCAGATGACGGAGAGAGAGTCTGCGCATCCGGCGATAAAGCAGGAGGACGGTCTCACGTTGGCAAACGGAATGGCCACTTTAGCGTTAAATACACCATCAAAGACTGCAGTTACCATAGGAAATAGTAGTATTAGTGAGGTGAGTAGTAATGTTCTTTTTTACTAGATTTGTTTCATTTATGAAATAATGAATAACTTGTAATATTTATTTCTAAAAATTAAACGGCCATTACTTAATGTACTGTGTAATCACTGTAGTTTTTAAGCGATAAGAGCTAACCAAGGCGACGAAGTGAAATCAAGAGAACATTTATGTCTTAAGAGACTTGCTGTCCCGCTTTTGGAAACATATCGCAGTATCTTGTACAGTGCATACACCGTGCTAACTCTTGAATATCTACTTTAAACTGTATTAATTCAAAATTCACTCACACATTAATTGTTGCTTATTTAAGATTAAGAAATTTATATCTTCCCTCAGAAAGATTTTTTCGCAAGTGTTTTTCAATTTCCTCTTTCGATTTTATTCTTCCAACACAAAGCCCGACATGCAATCTGTCAAAGGTTCAAACCTCAAATTGCTATGCGATTGCCGCGTTCAAGCCCCTCAATTACCTCACTCACAACATTATATACTGCGTTCTTAGTAGCATTAGCACTTCTGAATCCATATTGTGAGTTGCTAAAGTAATTATTGGACTCAAAATGGGAATAGAATTGTTTGATAACCTTTTCAATCACTTTCCTAAAAGTAAAAACAATGCTTATGGGTCTCAAACCAGTTAGATTATATCCTTATCAATAAGAGATACCATAACTCCATCAAATCGGCAAAGACATATCCAGGAACAGATGTGTCATCAGACCACAATCCAGTAATCGTAAAATTCGAAATCCACTTAAAGTAAATATTAAATTAAAAAAAAATTATCAGAAACCAGATAGATTATATCCTTATCAATAAAAGATACCGTAACTCCATCAAATCGGCAAAGACATATCCAGGAACAGATGTGTCATCAGATCAAAATCCAGTAATCGTAAAATTCGAAATCCACTTAAAGAAAATAAAAAAACAACAATAGACACAACAAATAAGCACTCTGCTAAAACACCCGAATATAAAAGGAGAACTAACGTTCAAAATTAACGAGGAGTTAAGCAAAACAATAATCAATGATAATGAAGATTCCAACGAAAAATGGGAAAAATTTAAGAACACATTAATTATGTCAATTAAAGATACGCTGAGTAGTCACAAAATCGATGAAACTAAGACTACATAGATGACAGATGAGATCAGGCAACTAATGGACAAAAGAAGATCATACAAAAACAAAAATGTAAACGAATACATAGCCACACACAAGGAGATCAGGATAAAACTACGGGCAGCTAAAGAGAAGTGGTACAATGACAAATGTTTAGAGATAGAAGAACTCCAGAGAAATTATGATAGTTTTGAAGTGCACAAAAAAATTAAAGAATTAGCAGTTATAAGACGGTCCAACAATAGTAACACCCTGGTTGATACGAATGGTAAAATAATATCTGATGTCAAAGGCAAACTAAACAGATGGAGAGAATACGTCCAAGGATGGAATAATACACGCAATAAATCTGGCAAAATCTAATAAAACTGTGGGGCCTGACACAATTCAAGCTAAAATAATTAAATTAATATCAGAAGATCAGATCATTGTATTAGTAGACTTATATAATACTATATATAATACGAGTATTATTCCGAGTGATTGGCTCAAATAAACATTTATTACATTACCAAAAAAACCTAATGCACGGGAATGTAATGACCACCGTATTATTAATCTAATGAATCACACACTACAAATATTCTTAAAAATTATCCATTTAAGAATTTTCAGAAAAGTGGAACAAGACATCACTGAAACCCAATTTGGATTTAGGAATGCCATGGGTACACGACAGGCATTATTGGGATTTAACTTCCTCATGCAAAGATGTATGGATGCAAACCAACCACTCTGTTTGTTTTATTGATGACAATAAGGCGTTCGATAAGGTCCGACACAACCGTCTTATACAGTTACTTAAAGATAAACACATTGACAAAAAAGAATTAAGAATAATAACTCTTCTCTACTTTAACCAAACAGCAAAAGTCAGAGTCGGCAAATAATACGGCAGACCCATGAACAATATCAGATATGCCGATATATACGATATATATATACTAATTGCAGAGAATATACAAGATCTACAGACACTTTTAGATAATGTAGTAAATGCTAGTGAGGAAAGCGGACTAACGCTTAATGCTAATAAAACAAAATTTATGACAATTTCCAAAACACAACAACAAGACATTTTAAACATATGAGGAGTTCAAATAGAAAAAGTGAAAAAATACAGATATCTTGGTACAATTATTAATGAAAATAACGAATATACAGAAGAAATAAAAATGAGAATTGGACAAGCTATAGCAACATTTAATAAGATGAGAAAAGTATTATGCAGTAGAGACCTTAGTTTGCAACTCAAAATAAGAATATTACGTTCTTATGTGTTTTCGGTGCTGCTGTATGGGGTGGAGGCCTGGACCTTAAAGAAAGAGGTGAGCGATCGACTTGAAGCATTCGAGATGTGGACCTACCGAAGAATATTAAAAATAAGTTGGGTAGACCGAATAACAAATGTTGAGGTCCTCAGAAAGATGACAAAGGAAATGGAAATCATGAATACGATTAAGATAAGAAAGTTACAGTATCTCGGCCACGTTATGAGAGTGGATAAATATGTGTTGCTACAAACCATAATGCAGGAAAAACGAAGTATTGGAAGAAGACGCATCTCTTGACTCAACAATCTGAGAAAGTGGTAGAATTGCAGTTTCGTCGACTTGTTCAGAGCTGCAATCTCAAAAGTGAAAATAGCTGTGATGATTACCAACCTCCTTAGAGGAGATGGTACCTAAAGAAGAAGAAGATTAAATTGTAAGTTTCGGATAGAAAGACTGCCAAAAAATTAGGATCATTTTTGGTATCATAGAAAGGTGTTCCAAAAGGCGCTGCATTAGATCAGGTTTAAACCATATATATATATATATATATATATATATATATATATATATATATATATAATATATATATATATATATATATATATATATATATATATATATATATATATATATATATATATACGTTTATATACGTATATATACGTTTTATATATCTGTCCTATAACATAACTTCCATTGCCATATTTGCTAATGACATCAAAGCTATCTTAAAAACCAGAGCAGTTACGAAAAAAAGAAAGACATTTTTCAGAGCATCAAAATTATTTAAAGTCCTATCACCAAGACAGCTGTTGGGCTGTTATCATTCGATAAAGGAGAGCTTATAACATAATTGACACATGACAGTTACACGATGATATTTGACAGAACCAATAATAGATGGTTTACATAAGATATTTTTAATATGTATATATTTTTAATTTACTCTTTTATGATGTGCATTTGACTGTGAAGTATATATTTCGCAGGTAAATACCAATGACGGATATGAGTTGAAAGAATCACCGACTCCTTCCCCGACTGGAACACTTACCAGATCAGTGAACGCGGTAAGAGAAACTTACAATTTTTCGATAAATAAAAATTCGTCAGGCACAAGTTTTTCTGGCCGCTGTTGTTTATTTTGATCTTTTTTGTTATTTTCTAGCGTAATAGTTTAAGAGTTAGTGCACCGAGTGATAATATAAACGGACAATGGGTACCGACTAGCGAATGGGTGCATTCGTGGAAAAGCAAATTACCGCTCCAAACAATCATGCGATTATTACAAGTTCTCGTGCCTCAAGTTGAAAAGATTTGCATTGATAAGTAAGTAAATTTTAAGTAGGAATTTTTTGCTTATGTTTAGTTCAAAATCATTCGTTTAATTTTTTTCCTGATAACTGATAATAAATCTTCTATATTTATCGGGAATAAATCACAATTTTAATTGAAAATGGGTAGAAATCTAAACATCAAATACATAAAAATTAAACATTTTTAACCGAAATTGCTGTTGATTTACATTAAATATAATACATAGTTAACATAGAAATGCTATAATAAAATAGTTTCAGAACGATTTCTTTTCACTGCCAGCGTGTGTCCGAGTTCACTTAACTTGGTTTAATGGAAATAAATCACAATAATAATTGAAAAAGGAGAGATGGAAATCTAAACGTCAATAATACATTTTCAATTAAAATTGTTGTTTATTTCCGTTAAATATAGATGATAACAGAAAAGGCACAAAACAATAGTTTCAGAAAATCATTGTTTTGTTTTCGTTTATTTGTTTTATTTTTATGCATCTTATTTTTTTTTTTATTATCGTATTGTAGGCTTATGTGTCATTTTTAGTCTTATTTCAGTTATTTTCTTTTGTTTTTCCTTTTTATATTAATTTTTCTGTATTTTATTATTTGTAACTAACTTTATTAATACATTTTTATCATTATTCGTGGCGTACTTATATTTTATCTTCAAATATTAACTTGATTTTAGGGGGCTGACTGATGAAAGCGAAATATTGAAGTTTTTACAGCACGGTACTTTAGTAGGCCTATTACCCGTCCCTCACCCTATTTTAATTAGGAAATATCAGGCGAATTCGGGCACTACTACTTGGTTTAGAACGTATATGTGGGGAGTAATATATCTAAGGTAAGTATTGTAAGGATTTTCACATACAATTGCTTAGTAAAGTTGTTGTTACTGTAACTATGGCTATCTCTATAACTCGTCAGAACGTCACTCGCGCACTAAACAATTATTTCTTAAATATTTTATTGACCTAAATACACTTCAAAACATCCAGTATGTTTATTTACACATCTTAATACAAGAAAAATTCACAAACAACATTGGTAGTGTACACTACCAGCAGAAAGAATATTGATGATAGATATAAAAGATGAAAACCAAAAATTAAAATTTGTAAGTGTGTGATGAATTACCCACGAAGACCTTTGCATACTTGGGTTTCTCCTCAAGATCAACCATGAAACATAATTAGGAATCAAATTGATTACATAATGGTGAACAAGAGATTCCGTAATGGATGCCTATCAGTTAAAAGTTAACCCGTTGTAGTCACGTAAATATAACGTCTATGCGAAGAAAAATCAGCCGTACAGTTTGGTTTTCGGAACACAGTGGGTACGAGAGAGGCACTCTTTAGTAAACAAGTGCTATTTCAACAATGTAGCAATCTTTACTGGAATCAAACGTGATCTATCCGTACAGAGGCAGGAGAATCAGATGATATCAAAATCAAACGTGGGGTCCAACAGGGATGTATACTATCACCTTTGCTATTTAACATATACTCTGAGGAAATCTTTCACAGAGTTCGAATTAACGGAGAATGTATCAATAACATCAGATACGCGGATGACACGGTGGTATTCGCTGACAGTTATGAAGCCCTCCAGGAGGTAATAGAATCACAGAAGTGAGTCAGAGATATGGACTTTCACTGAACATTACGAAAACAAAATGTATGATGATCTCTAAGGAACAGCAAATTGAAAAAATCGGCGTGAATGGTCAACCAATAGAAAGAATGAAAAACATCTGCCTTGGTACGAACATCAATGAAAATTGGGACCATTCCCTAGAAATAAAATCTAGGATAGAGAAAGCAAGATCTGCATTTCAAAAAATGGCTTCTTCTCATGACGCCGTCTTCTTTCGAAGGTTGGCGATCCAAATAGCAATTGTGGTTTTGGAAACTGCTGCGCGAAAGATTTCTGTGGATGAGCGGTCGGACCATCTCCTCAGGTCTTTCAGCCATGAGTTCTGGCGTCTTCCTACTGATCTTTTGCCCTGTACTTTTCCGTCCAATATAACTTGAAGTAATTCATATTTTCGACTCTCCACACATGACCCAAGAATTGCATTTTCCCCTCTTTGATTATTCTTAACAATTCTTTTTGTTTACACAAAATGGCTAAGCTATTCAAATGCTACGATTTATCAGTACCCATAAAAATCAGGTTACTACTATGTTATATCTTTCCTATTCTATTGTACGGAGTTGAGTCGTGGACTCTCACATACGTTACCTGTAAGAAAATTGAGGCTTTCGAAATGTGGCTTTATCGTAGAATCCTGAAGATATCCTATGCCGACCACGTTACTAAGCAGGACGTTTTATTAAGAATGTAAAATGGAAAAGAGTTGTTAATTACAATAAAAACAGCCAAAATTGAATACCTCGGTCACTACATGAGGAACAGCGAAAGATATGGGTTGCTGCAATTAATTCTTCAAGCAAAAGTAGAAGAAAACGAGGACTAGAAAGGCGAAGAATTTCCTGACTGAAAAATGTACGTACGTCGTTCAACACAAAACCACAAATCTTTTCATAGCCACAGTTTGCAAAATACAACTGATAAATTTCGACAGAGCAGATACTCAATCAGCGACATGAGGATGATTTGTATGCATTAAGTAACGTTGATAGCTCTGCGGTTACCACAGGGGTGATTGGCAAGGTTAGCAACCTACCAATCGTAAAAAAGAATACTGCTCAAAGAAACAATGTACAGCTTCGGAACCGGCAAGAAATAAAGCCAAGCGAAAAACATCTAAAACCCAGATAAGAATTACTACTTGGAATATCAGATCGGTCAACTCAAGGGACCAAGAAATAATCCAAATGCTGAAAGAGAAAGAAATAGGCATTTGTGCTCTACAGGAAAGAAAAGGACAATCAAAATTAGGTGAATACATACTAATCTACAGTGGAGTAGCAAAAGAAAACAGGGCCAAAGAAGGGTTAGCCTTACTAATATACCAAAGGCACCAAAATCACATCAAAGAGTGTCAGTACATATCAGAAAGGATTGTACAGCAAAGATAAGAATGGAGAAGGAAGACCTGAATATCATCGGAGTATACGGCCCAGAAAGTAATAAGCCTCAAACAAGGGAAACGTTTTATGACCAATTACAACAAGTAGGAGATCAAGTCAGAGGGAAGATGCTAATATTGGAGGATTTTAAAGCTCGAATGTGCAATCAAGTAATATCCGGAATTAAGCAAAAACAGAGAACTGATGATAAACTTCTGCACGAATAACAAACTTAGAATAAACAACACAGTTTTTAACTACAAAGACCAACACAAATACACATTTAATAACACCCGTAGACAAAGGTCTATGATAGATTATATTTCGGAGTCCACGGAATACTTATACAGAAAAAGAATAGAATAGAAAGAGAATATCGCTGGGAATGAAATATTAGAAAACGATAACATCGAGGAAAGCTGGGAAAAACTCAAAAATGACATAATTAACGCAGCAACAGAATCACTTGGAGAGAGGAAAGTAACGAACAGTAACATATTAAAAAATATGTATTATAAACATATAATTACTATAAAAGAATCAGAAATGAAACGAATACTGAAGTTAGACAAAGAAAAAGGGAAAACTGGCAAAGCTTTTCAAAACAGTTGGAACACGACTCTACGGAACATAAAAAGAAATATGGAGAATGATCAGAGGACAAAGAAAAGAGATGAACAAACTAACAAAAACGAAACACATTCAGAAGGAAACATGGGTAGACTACTTTTGTACAATATTTGCTAAAGGTGTCGATAGTGAAGCACCAGCACCAGAGGTGACGAAAATCGAAGAAATAAATATTAAAGACGAAGAGGGGAAGAAAGCATTAAGGAAATTTAAAAATATAAAATCAGCAGGAGAGGACAGAATACCGAACGAACTCCTAACGTACGGACAACCACCAACACCAGATGTGACGTCAAACGAAATAAATATTGAAGATTAAGAGGTGAAGAAAGCGTTAAGGTAATTAAAAAATAGAAAATCGCCAGGAGAGGACAGAATACCGAACGAACTCATAAAGTACGGCGGACCATATCTGAGCAAAAGACTATTACAACTAATCCGAAAAATAATAGAGCCAAACAGAATTCATCAAGAATGGAGATCAAGCATCCCAATACCTTTTTTTAAAAAGTGAGACAAATCGGACCCGGAAAATTACAGAGGAATTAATTTATTAAATACAACACTAAAATTAACAACCAAAGTGATAACAAATAAACTAAATGAAATTATACCACTAATAGAAGAACAACAAGGTTTTAGGTTGGGAAGATCATGTACCGACGCTATATTTATAATGAGGCAAGTGCAAGAGAAATCATTAGAATACAACAAATCGGCATATCTATTTCGTGGACCTTAATTAGTAATATGGAGAAATAAAAATATCGGGAAAGAAATGAAAGGCAGAGTCTACAAAACCTGAGTCTATTGGTCTCATCAAATCAATAATGACATACGCAGCAGAAATACGACCTGACACAGACAAGACAAAAAAGATGTTAGAAATAGCAGAGATGAAAACACTTGAAAAATTAATGGTAAGGCACTATGGAACAGAGCTAGAAGTACAGATATACGACGTAGATGCAAAGTGGAGAACATCAAAAACTGGGTAAGAAATAGAAGAGTAGAATGGAACGAGGTCATATAATCCGAATGACAACAAATAGAGTAGTAAAGATGGTAAGACGGTTCCCCAATAGGAAGACGATCAATAGGAAGACCACGAAAACGATGGGACGAAAACTAACTGTAGTTATTTGTATATTACATTTAGGGACTCTGTAAAACTTTTTGTCGACATTACTCGCATATGAATCCTCATATTAAAAACATGCGTAATTACATTCACGGACGATTAAATGATTCATTAAAGACGGTGATTGTACCAGATACATTCTATGTTGTAAATTCTCATAGCCTAATGCCACACCATGCCACGGTCACTTCAGCTTTTTAACCGTCATTAAAGTGGGGCGTTTAAGTTCTAATTGTTTGGCTTGTTTTAAGTGCAGTCTTGATTTTATTTAAATAAAAATAAAATTAAGAAACACGCTTTTCATTTGACTCGCCCGGTTTAAAACATATTTTCAAAAATTGATAGCCAAAGCAGAGTGCGGTCCATTGTTACGTCTTTAGAGATCCGTCAGATTTTTTACGTCAAAAGCACGCGCGTGTTCAAAAACACTGTATTATAGTATTTGCCAGCTAGGAAGAATCAACGCAGCTATTCTTCAAATATTTCCGAATGTTGCCTTTAATCGGTGGTATACCTAACAAAGCCCCTTGTGATTGGTATCGACACTGAAGCGGTATGAAAATGAGAATTTGCGATGCTTCTTCTTAGGTGGCGCCACCTATATATGAATTCAGTACTTCTTGTGTAATATTATTATTTTTTTTAGGAATGTGGATCCCCCTGTTTGGTATGACACCGACGTAAAGTTATTTGAGATCCAGCGTGTTTAAAATTTAAACTTGTTTCGTTAAAGAGTAATATATTTATATTTATTTGTAACTATGTTGTGACTGTGCATTCAACAGATGATTATATATATGCATTTTAATGAGTAGTTTTAAAGAAAATTAGAAACTATTTTTTATAAGACATTCCCTTGTTAATACGTGTTTAGTTTAACGTTTTTGTTGTTTGTTAAGGTTACTGCTACTAAAATAGTGTTATTAACTGAATTTTTCGATGTAAGTATTGAAATGAACATACCTGTTTTTTTCATCATTTAAAATCTCTGCGAATATTTCGTTTTCGACAGATCTGGAATTATTTTTTCCTGGCGTTTCTCCAGCAATAGATTACAGGATATGCCAAGTTGCTATCATCCGTCAATGTCTTGGCTTTGTACTGTGTAGAAATCTCATTCTAACACACATAGTTCAGTGTTAAGACACATATGTAGAGCAGATTTGTATGTGATGACCCCTTTCAAGAGAACTCTCTTAGATTGGTATCGCTAATGAGCTGTAGTAATATGCCAAGAACAAAGATGGGGATCGGTAACGGTAAGCTAGTCATTGATTTTTCTCAGATATGTAGTGTAAAAGGCCTTTTTTTTGCTTCTCGCTCGAGCTATTCCCTGCAAGAGCAAAATCACATATAAAATAGACGAATGCGAACTTTACAGTGCCTTCGACGTTTTCCTGGAAACGTGTTCTGTGTTTTGCCAAAGAAGAGAGTCAGTAAGATGCGTCATTTAAGTCTACACCAAAAAAGTATCTCCCACATTATAGCTGAATGCAGATATTACCACTAATTGCTTCATACTCACCCTTAGTAGTTTTGTTATGTCACTAAATAGTGAATAAGATGAAGGTATCTTTACCTCTTTCAACATGGTCACTGATAGTTCGCAAATTCCTTAATACTCACTCTGCTTTCTTTTATTTTGGTGCACATAGCTACATCAAAGAGCGACTGACAAGGCCCGCGACGTACAATGGAATATAACGTCCATACTTTCGCCTGCATTCGACAAAATTACAATTGATTTATGTCTCTTTAATTAAGGCTAACATACTAAACATTTATGTAATGTTAAATTAATTTTTTTAATAGTAAAAAGTTCTAAAAAATAGAAAAACAGTAACCGTAAGTTGTGCATTGACCGTTTGTTTAGCATCTGTTGTTTGCACTTAAAATTAGTTATATTTATTACAAAGCATACAAATCTAAAATATGAAAATATTTCACAGTAAATATGTGTATTTCTTTCGCTTCCCATTCCCATAAGATTTTATTATTCCTTGTTGATTGTAGAGTTCCTTTAAAATTTCTTCCTTTATTTCATATTACTTCCGAGAGATGCGGAATTGGAATAATTTTTAGATTCCTTTGATAGATACGGATTGCTACGAGGAACTGTGTTGGTGACTTAATTTACAAGTTGAAAATAGACAGCAATGTCATCATATGTTAAACATTTTTGCCTTCTTTTTAATTTGTTAGATCAATAGATGGTTCAGTTTTCGGAGAACTATTTCACAGTAAACATGTAGTTATATTTCAGTTCACATGTAACAAGCTTTTATCAATGTTCGCTGATCTTTACTTCCTAAGTTTCACTAAAATTAGTTATATTTAATATAAAGCATACACATCCAAAATATGAAAACATTTCACAGTAAATATGTGTATTTATTTCACTTCCCATTTAATAAGTTTTTATTATTCCTTGTTGATCGTCGAGTTCCTTTAAGATTCCTTCCGTTGTTTCACATTTGTTTCGAGAGATGGGAAATTGGAATAATTTTTAGATTCCTTTGATAGAGATGATAGGAACTGTGTTGGTGACTGAATTTACAAGTTGAAAAATTTGAAATATGTTAAACATTTTTGCCTCCTTCTTTTAAATTTGTTAGATTAATAGAAGATATATATTAAACATGTATTTATATCTCATTTCTTCTTCTTCTTCAAGTGCCCTGTCCGTTGCGAACGTTGGCTATTAACATGGCAATTTTGATCTTGTTTGCGGCGCTTCTGAATAGTTCGACCGATGTGAGCCCGAACCACTTCCGCAGATTTTGGAGCCACGAGTGTCTTCTCCTGCCTGGCCCTCGCTTACTGTCTATTTTTCCCTGGACAATCAATTGTAGCAGACGGTACTTATCGTGTCTCAATATGTGGCCTAGATATTCAAGCTTTCTTTGTTTAATTGTATTCACGATTTCTTTCTCCTTTCCGATTCTTTGGAGTACCTCTATGTTGGTGACATGTTCGGTCCAGGATATACGAAGAATGCGTCGGTACACCCACATTTCGAATGCTTCTAGTTTTCTCGTTAGCGTCTCCGTCAGCGTCCAGGCCTCCACGCCATACAGCAAGATCGGAAAAATGTAGCATTTAACTATACGTAGTTTTAGGGGAAGAGACAAATCCTTGCTTATGAGGAGCTTTTTCATATTGCTAAATGCTGCTCTAGCTCGTTCTATTCTCGCCTTAATTTCTATGGTCTGTTCCCATTTTGCATTTACGTTGGTGCCAAGGTACACATAAGATTCTACATGGTCAATTAATATGTTACTTATCCGTAATTGTCGAGCAGGTTGTTGCTTTTTGCTTATCAGCATCCACTTTGTCTTCTTGAAGTTGAGGCTCAGGCCGTATTCCTCACTAACTGAATAAAGTCTTTCCATTACTTGTTGTAATTCGTCTATGGTACTGGCAAGGATCACCGTGTCGTCGGCGTATCTTATATTGTTCGTTAACTCGCCGTTTATTTTAATGCCCTCATTTGCATTTTCCATACATTTGTTAAATATTTCCTCGAATACATATTGAATAGGAGTGGGGATAATATACACCCCTGACGGACACCCCTTTTGATCTGCACGCTTTCAGTGAGTTCGTTGCCAATTTTTGCTCTTGCTGTTTGACCCCAGTATAGGTTTGCCACAATTCGAATGTCCTTGTCGTCAATACCTGTCTTTCGCAGAATACCTATCAATTGTTCATGATTGACATTGTCAAATGCTTTTCTAAAATCTACAAAGCACAGATACACGTCTTTATCAACGTCTCTACACCGTTGTATAAGCACCTGGAGAGCGAAAATTGCTTCTCTAGTTCCAAGTGCTTTCCGAAAACCAAACTGCGATCTATCAATATTTGACTCACATTTATCATATATTCTTCTGTGAATGATCTTAGTGAACGCTTTAGTGACATGATTGATCAAGCTTATGAGCCGGTAGTCATCACAAATCTGGGCATTTGGTTTCTTCGGGATTGTAATAAATGTTGACTGTAGCCAGTTCTCCGGGATTTTACCGCTATTATATATGTTGTTAAAAAGTACAACTAGATTGTCAAGGAACTGTTTGTCTGATTTACATAGGATCTTTAATATTTCGCAGGGTACATTGTCCGGACCTGCTGACTTATTGTTTTTTAGTGCTGCAATGGCATCTTCTATCTCCGATTTAAGAATTGAAGGTCCTGTTTCTCCTTCTCCATATATGTGATCATCAGTCCTGTTAGATGCAAATAATTTTTCTATGTATGATTTCCATGTTTTTAAGATCGTTGATGGCTCCGAGATAAGATTTCCATCGCTATCTTTTATGCTGTTGGGTGACTTATTGAATTTCCTCTTGTTTGTCATCGATTTTATTTTTTTGTGCATATTGTAACTGTCGTATTTTCGTTCGTATTGTTCTATTTCCCTGCATTCGTTGGAAAACCATATCTCATTTCACATGTAAAAAATTTTCAAATCAATGTACGCCAAGCCTTGATTTCCTTTAAGATTCTTAATAGCTTCCATATTCCTTGCAAGAAATAGAAAATCCGGGTAATTTACAACCGAATAGAAGAATACGAATTACAGCGATGAATCTTGTGAGTGAATTCGGTTTATCGTATATGAAATTAAAAACCGATAGCTCTAATATTAATAAATACTAACGGAGATAGAATTATTAATCCTTTATAAAAGGTATATAATTAAAAAGGCCCTTTCAGGCTACATCACAACAGAACGTTTTCAGACGTTCATCATCAGTGCATTTACCAGGTGTGCGTGAGCCAAGCCACTTAATTTGGATACGAACCCTAATTTGGTGTGATGTTAGTTTTTAACAGATACCCTGAGGCGATGTCTCTATATGGGCTTTAGATTGCAACCCCCAAAATTGGGAGTCTCCTTACTATGTAATGTTAAATTTAACTTTTTGATGTAAAATTTGAAATATTTCACAGTAAAAATGTAGTTATTTCACTTCCTGCTTGACAAGCTTTTGTGAACGGTTTGTGAATCTCGATTTTCTTTCAGATTCATATTTTTTCTTTCTCTTTCCTTCATAAAATGCTTCCGTTTTGGATTTTTGTAGGATATTTGCCAAAGTTATTCGTTTTATTTCAACTTCTATCTTTTGTTTTTCAGAGCATCTTTTCAGTTTATTGTGAAAGATCTTAAGGTCAGCCATGAAATGATCGCAAGCACTATACGCATCACTGCGCGGATAGCCAAAACTAATGTTAAAATACTTATTAAAGATTTTTCGATATGTTTCGTAAGACACAAGAGCGCCCTTATCGGATTTGTACATAGTGAACATTTTCTTAATATTTATGTCATCCGGAAGGTACATTTTCTTAAGTTTTATTTTTACTATAATGGCTTTCTCTTTATTGTAAACGCTTTATGTGTTCAATAACTTCATCTAGCTGTTGTTTTGGTAATACGAGTATTTTTGGATTTTTTTCGCGTTTGTCAATTGGTGCACTACCAGTAGCTTTTAAACTTTTTTGAATATTTTCTACAATTCCCTGAAGACTTAGAAAAGCTTTAAAACAAATTGGGACGTCAGTAGTTTTATCGTCAGTCGTTATTCTAACTCTAAAAGAATACGTTGCATCATGCAATCTTGATGTAGCTTCATCTCGGACTTTTCTTTGCTTTACGTCATTAACGTTATTAGGCCGGCTAAGAAATATTTTGTTTAACAATAAAACACTGAAAACTTTGTTTTCAAACTTCCACAAAATTTATTTTAAATATTATCACTACAGCTGTTTCGGCTGATTGCCTTTCTCAAGTGATCTATTTTGGCTTGGGTTTACAAATTTATAGTCTCTAATGAAATAGGTTGAGGAGGGGAGAACTGTTTGTCTCAAGTTGGTCATTCAGAATTATATCTGTGTTTTTTAATTTGTTGATTTCCATAGATTCTAACAAAGATAGCTTAAGGCCTTTATTTTGAATGTGAAGAATTTTAAATTTGTCATTAAAAGAATGATTATGATCTAGAAGGTGAAGTGCGTATGTCGAATCTGTTTTTCTATTCTTGAAAGCCCTTTTATGTTCTGCTATTCGTTTATCAAAGTTTCTACCAGTTTGACCGATGTAAGTTTTTGGGCAGTCGCCACATTGGAGTTTGTATACACCACTATTTAAGTGTTTTTTATTTTGGCTCTTGTTATTTTTAATATATTTGCCTAGGTTGTTATTTGTTCGGAAAGCTGGTGTTATTCCTTTCTTTTTTATGTGTTTGGCAATTTTTGTTGTTATTTTGCCTGTATATGTAATCGAGCAGAAGGTACTGGGTTTTTTCTCTGGTGGTGGAAATACTAATTTCAGGGCTTTCTTGTGTAGTTTTTGATTTAACCTTTTATTAATTGTTTGTTCGTTGTATCCGTTGTTTACTGCTATTTGTTTAATTATATTTAATTCTGTCTCAAAGTTGTCTTTTGACATCGGAATTTCTGTTAATCTATGTAACATACTATGATAAGCTGCCAGTTTATGTTGTGTTGTGTCATAGTATGTTACATAGATTAACAGAAATTCCGATGTCAAAAGACAACTTTGAGACAGAATTAAATATAATTAAACAAATAGCAGTAAACAACGGATACAACGAACAAACAATTAATAAAAGGTTAAATCAAAAACTACACAAGAAAGCCCTGAAATTAGTATTTCCACCACCAGAGAAAAAACCCAGTACCTTCTGCTCGATTACATATACAGGCAAAATAACAACAAAAATTGCCAAACACATAAAAAAGAAAGGAATAACACCAGCTTTCCGAACAAATAACAACCTAGGCAAATATATTAAAAATAACAAGAGCCAAAATAAAAAACACTTAAATAGTGGTGTATACAAACTCCAATGTGGCGACTGCCCAAAAACTTACATCGGTCAAACTGGTAGAAACTTTGATAAACGAATAGCAGAACATAAAAGGG